CAAAAGAATTAATGAAGGTTGGAAACCCAGAGACGGCCAAACCAGCTCTGGACAGGTAACATGTTCTGGGTCTATGTCTGGGGGTGTGTGTGTGTGTGTGGTGTGTGTGTGAGGGCCAGGGAGGAGGGAGTAGAGACAGAAGGACTATCTCCTGCCCTACACCCAAGTTGCTGCTGAAATGGGAATTGCGTCATACCTGCAGGTAGAGTATGCTTCTTAAACATCATGAGCAACACTTGTGCTTTACGGCTTGGGCTTGAACACACAAGTTACTAGTATTAACTACTTAAACTTCAGAACACCTTTGTGAGACTGTGGGATTGGATCATCCAGTTTCTCAGAAGGCACCGTGAACTTGAGCATGTGGAACATCATTCCACCACAATGCTGTGCCTCCAGGCCTCTGCTTCAGCCTTTTTTTGAAAATGGATGCCTTGGAGCTTAGAAGGCATTTAACCACATAAATGTAAAGGAAAAAAGCAATAAATGTTTCAGGCAAGCACACAAAGTCTTTTATACCTATAAATTTCGACTAGACTTAAGTACGATTTAAAGTTTTAAAGTACGATGTCTATGAGAAAGTGAGCTCTGAATTCCAATTAAGACACCAGCTTTTCCCGTCCTGCTAGTCTCACAGGGTCTCCCTCCAATCCTTCCACCCTCCCAAATTAACACACAAACAAAACACAAAATCCAGGAAGAAGCTAGTTCAGAGCCCAAAGAAGCACCCTCCTTTAGCAGGGACTCCTAAGGACCTGGTTTGTTGGAGAGAGGGGATCTACGGGGGCTCTGGTGGGAGCAGACACTGAAAGTGTTTCTCCCATGCAGGTGGGCAGAAACACAGCTTGAGACCTAGAGCAAGGGCAGCAGGGGCAGAGGGCATTTGGGGGTGTCTTCCCTAGTCAGAGTTCACAAAGAAGAACTTGCCTTACTAAGGAACACGAGGTAGTGTGGCAGGTTTAACTGATGTTTCCTGAGACAAGCCAAGTGCGAGGGTGCTGAAAACACATACACACACCACTTCCTGCCCCTGGGCCTTTAGTTAGCTATTAAAAACAAACAAAACTACACAGTGAAATGGATGATGTGGAAAGCCATTCTAGTATTTAATATACTTCCCAAGTTAATATAACTAGAAGTTGACTAACAAGCAGCTACGTTTTTTATTTCAGTGGATCCTAAACTTGCAATAGAACTATTTTTGCGCTGGGTTAAATGGTACAGATTCCTCTCTTGAATATAACATCTATTCCCTTTTTTGGAGTGCAATTAGGGGCAGATAGTCTGAGTGGCAAAAAGCATGGCCTCTAGGCAATCAAAACAAAAGGGTGAAAATTCCTCAGAAATAGAATACTTGTTAAAGGCATGCTTCTTTTAAAAAAAATAAGAATACAGTCTCTTAAATGTAACTTAGGAATTAATAGTGCATGTCCACTGCAGGGGCAGGAACGTCAAGTCTGGTCACACTGTTCTCAGAATCATTAAAACGGCATTAGCACTGGTCGGCCAGAGGCATCCTCCCAAGTTGCTGGTCCTGAAGCAGTGTGTACTCATTCTACATTCACTGACTGAAGCAGACTTTATAGAGAACAGATTTGAACATAAGTTCATTGGAATGGTCTTTCCAATCTCACGACTGAGGGTCACAATGACCAGTTAAGAATCACAAGCCAGTATCTCTTTCCTTAACTCATCCTCTTCCCATCTATAATTCCTTTTTCTTGTAAACAAATCCACAGGCTACCGAAAGCAGACTATCAGGGGTGTCAGGAAAGCTTCCACTATTCTACTAATTTCACCTTTATTCCAAGGATCCTGATTTCAGGGGATTCTTCCCAATAGTGAACTCACTAAGTTATGTGGCATAATTTTAAGTGTTCCAGAACTGTTGAGAAATGGAAAACAACACACTGTGATGTGAAATATCCATCACACAATCAACTTCATGAAATTAATGCCATTTCAATATCTTTTTATTGAACATATTAGATCTTTATTATGAAAGCCAGATAATTTGGGCAAAATAAGCTCCATAGTTTTGTGGAAAATCTGAATATATTAATGGCTCATCAAGTTCAATGAGAAATTTTCACATAGGCATGTAAAAATTTGCCTTTTGTAGAAGGCCAAATTTTGCTATCAATAATTTAAACAAAAATTTAAAATACAACCTGGCATTCAATTTAATCTGCTTACTATTGTTCATTGACTTCTAATGATAATTGGTAGAATAAAGATGAACATGAAAAGAAAAAGAAAAAATTCCTGGTCTGGTTTAAAAAAGAAAATTCAAGCGATTTGAATCAGCCTTGCCAACAGTCTGGAGAATCAGTCTGTTAAGCAAGTGGTGTACGTAAATAAATAATCAAAGATGCCATTAAAATATAACTTGGTAAACAGGCATTACCTATTTAATAAGTACAATATATACATAGAATTCTCCTGAAAAGCTTCATTTTATACAGAAACATATTTACAAAATGAACAGTGTGATCAAATTAAAGATTATTTGTACAGTGCACACATATATAAATATGAACTTTGGAAGATAAACAAGTTTCATCATTGTAGTCAAAATGGACAGCCATATGCATTTTAAAAAAGGATTTCACTCCAGAAGAAAAATACATCTTTAATATACAATCATATTTTTCATTTAGTTTGCTGAATATTCTTAATGTTTGGATACTTTTTCGATTATCTTCTCTTTTTCAGCCTTGAAAAGTTTCAGGTTTCTAGTGCCACCAACTGGTGTTAAAAATTTACAATCTTAGTGTCAAAAAAGAATGGTTTTGTTTTAAAAAAAAGGTCATTGAAAATAGGCTACTGGAGTCAACATTCATAAGGCAAATGAATCATACTGAATAACAACATGATTGATAAAAATATTTTCACCAGGGTAGCGTATATAACATTTAAAAAATTAACGGTTTCTAATGTTTTTTTCTTCTTCTACTGGTAAATCTTGGTCTAAATTTCTATGTAAAAATCTTTAGAAAATAATATACTGCAAAACAAAGTTTGGAAACACACATGACATGATTAGATTCATCTTCATAAGCATCAAGTAGGCATTAATAATTTACTAAAATGGCAAAAATCAGATGCCATTTTATCATCTTTGGATTTTTTTTCCTTTTGCTTAAAGAATAATTAAACATCTGTGACAAAAGTTAAGAAATGTGCAGAACCACCATGAAAACAGCAATCTGCTCTCAGTGTACCTCAGCAAGGATTCATTTGCCAAAGCTTCGTGTCAGAGTGAGACTTCTGGGTCACTGACTTGCATAAGTGGATTAACTCTCTTCCCACAGGAGCTGGCTGTGAGCTGCAGAGGCTCAAAGAGCGGCTCCTACTGCCTCCCGGCTATTTTCACTGACCAAAAGCTTCGTGAGGAAGGAACTGCCCTCCCTACCTGGTCTGTTCACCAATATAATCACAATACCCTGTATGGTTCCTGGCAATAGTAGGTTTTCAGTAAATGTGTTTATTAAATGAATAAATAACATGATGGTAGCCTGATAAAATTTAATTTCAAGATAAATTGCTTTAAATAAATGATTATAAAGATGGGGAAAAAAAAAACCCCACCAAACTTCAAATTCATTCTTCTGCCCAAACCCAATATTTTTAATCCTTAAAACTTAACAGGCTAAAGTTTGAAGTGGTACAGGAAAAAGGGAGTCACAGTAAGTATTCACCTTAAAATTAAAACCTAGTTAAGTGTATGCATGTATACACACACAAAAGTCATTTCCTGCCCAAAGAAACCTACATAGTGCTAACAAACAAACACAGCCTTTGATGTGTACAAATAATAAGGATCATACAAAATACATTTTCCCCAAGATCTCAGGTTTATCCAGACCACTTTCCTCTTCTGGACACCCCATTCTTCTCTCCATACATTCAATATAGTAAGAGGAGAAGGCCTCTAAATCCTTACGTAAGGAGCTGTTTGTGAATCAGTATAGAGATCTGATATATGCACATTTTTGTACATTACTTTGCTCAGTCCTGATCCATATGCAAAAGGATACAGTAGAAACTAAAGGACAAAAAAAAAAAAATAGAGCGTTTTCTTCAAAAGTTTTCCATAGTTTCTTACATTTATAGGGGAAAAAAGTAACAAGTCAAAATATGGTTTATAATAGCTTTTTTCTAAAATTGTTTCATCATTAAACTTCTCCAAATGAATGGTGGCACAAATCTTAACATTGGAATGTTCATTTCTGTATGTGATAAATGTATATATTTTTAAAAAGCGTACAGACCTAGGACATAGGGATCTAATCATTATTTCATTTCCATTAATACAGTTTGTGTCTTGGAGGAAAAAAACAAATATTGTAGTGTATGAATCTGTATCACATATAAGAAGCTGTAAAAATTTAATTATGGCTACTTCAAGTAGTTTTTAGCACAATAGTATGTCTAGAAACAAATGGGAAAATAATTCAGATTTGATTGCACTTACCCTCTTATTTTCTTTATTTTGATAAATTATTATTGGTAAAAAGAACAAGACACATTATGGTAAGACTAATACTTTTTACAGCTATTTAAAAATAAAATGTTTTTGAATTTATATTTCTATTTTGAAGTAAAAAGATTTTGTTTTTGGATGACAACATATAACACAATATACAGAAAAAATAAGACACCACATTGAATCATCTAATCCTTAGTAAATGATCTTTTTAAACAATGTTAAGTTGATTTAAAAAAATGTTAAAATACATTAAAGGGACACTGCCACCATGAGCCCAACTTTTAGAGCCATACAATTTTTTAAAGGCTTTTAATCCATTATCCCAAAGCTCACTTCTCTTAAGCGGATAAAAAAGGATACAAAAATCCAAAACAAAAATGAGTCTTGCTGCAACATCTGCATATGAGTGAAGGTATCCTCTTACAGATATGATCTGAATATAATGAAATGTGAAAAACCACACACAGAAATTATAACGGGGAGAAATTACAAGAGGTGAGAAAAAAATTCAATGACAGAAATACTAATACTATGACTGGCAACATTTAAGTGCACATCTTAAATAAATATTGTATAAATCCAACAGGATACATAAGTTTGGCTCTAAAATTTCTTTGGTTACAAAAATGTAATTATTTTGTGTTTTAAATACATATACTGCAACACACCACATTTGGGGACTATGAGATCACTCCACTATAATATATATCAACAGTAAAGAACGGTGCTCAAATGAAATGGTTAGCAGTGCCATATGCGGCATTCTCTTGGAAACTGGTTCTTTATAAATATCTTCAACATTTATCTTTATACTTGATGTCAGTAAAAACTAAAGTATTTCAGTTTCAAAGAATTCATTATTCATCTCTCTGTTCTAATGACTAATCCATTTCACATTTTAAAATACAACTGAAGTCCACAGGAATTTTCTAAATGGGCATGTTATTTAAAATCATATTTTAAGTAACTGAAGATTAGAAAAACTCAACTATTAACTCAAACAATTCAAATCTGAAAAAATGTACCTAGCACAGGTAAGGAAATCTGACAGAGGCATATAATGCCTGATCATTGCCAGTTACCAAGAGCTAGCTTTCCTATCAGCTTCCATTAAAATTAAAAGATTTAAAGACTCAATGGCATCCCTAAAACACAACCAAATGTTATCCTGGAATGTCACAATGAAAATTTTTATCACTTCTTTAGTTTTCTTCATGTTGGAAAAAAAGCATATTACTGAATACCTGTCCTTTCATGCATAATTTTAAAAAGCTGAATCATTTTTGACATGTATTTTACAGGGAAGAAATATGGAGAAGGGGTTTTCAAAAGCCCTTGTAGCAATGTTCAGCACTTCATATGACTGTTAGTAAATTAAGTTGTTCTGATCCAATGGCAGGCTGTCACCATACAAAAACAAATTTCATCAAAGCTTACTCTCACAGTAACAGCAACGCGTTCGTATTGTAAAAGGATACTTTTTTATACAGATAGAGCAAAACAAATTTTTTACTGGTTGACACACAAAACAGGGAAAAGTTTCCCACGACACTGGGCAGTGGCACCTGTTCCTTGTGTGGCTTTCGTCACCTGTTCACGGAGCAAGAGCTTTGTGTTAGGTTTTCTTTGTCCTCTGCTCTAGTTCATGCTGGTGTTTAATAAGACGTTCTATTTCTGTTCCAAGTGTTTGTAGATTTTCCTTTACCAGTTGGAAAAACAGGGAAAAGAAAACAGAACTACTAAGTATAATAAGTAAAAAGATTCAGTTTGAACTATTTTTGCCTAAATTTTGAAACTGAAAGAGTGATGATTAGTCTTAAATGCTATGTGAGATATAAACTAGGCACACAGTCGTTTTCAGTAAAGTAGTCCTGCACATTTGAGTCTAAATATTTAATCTTTTTACTTAAGCTACAATAAATTTTAGTGCATAAAATTATTACTTATTAGATTTAAAAAATTATTTTTTTAAATCCATCACTAACTATCAAGGCCCAAACACAACACAAATAGAATAGTTGGGTCAGATAACAGCTGCAAAAAATAAAATAAAGCTGGAAAATACATTAGGAAAAAAATGCCTCAATCTTAAAAAACGTCTCAGTAATCAATTAAAACTAATTGTATGTAAAAGGCCACCTACTGCAAAGTAAATAACTCACTTTAGTGTCTATCCAATAGCTAAACTGATTTTTTGCTATTTCTTTCTTTCCTTGCTAGTTAAACTGTACTTTTCAAAAAGAGAAAAATACAAAAATGTTATCTCTGGGTAAAATGGCTACCTTGCATTACAGAAACAGTCCATCTACATGCTAGATCAAACTAGGAAAAAGGCACCATTTTGCCATGTTTATTGGTTGGTAAATGAATGAGAAATAAAAATACCTTCAAAGTAATATTTTTTAGTAACGTATCCTCCAAAACAGCCTGTAATTTCCGGTTGATCTCCAAGGAGAGTTCCAACGTCAATCCACTATCAGCCAGATGGGATGTATACAGAGATGCCATAATGCCACCCCGTCTACTTAAATGGACTTTGTTAAAATCAGATGCCTCCGAAGAAAGTGTACCTGATTCTTCCCGTAAAATGTAACTCTGAATTATTCTGCAAAATAAAATAACACTATCAGTTATATATCTGCAGAATTAAAAACAGTGGAATTTGCAAGAGTCAACTAATCATAAGCATAAAGATGATTTTGTTGTTAGTACCATCGAGTCAATTCTGACTCCTAATGTCCTTGTGTACAGCAGAGCGGAACCCTGCCCAGTCTTTTCCCACCATCCTCTCACCTTCCAGCACTATATCAGACAATGCTCCACTGCTATTCATAGGGTTTTCATGGCCAATTTTTCAGAAGTGGGTGACCAGGTCCTTCCTGGTCTATCTAGTCTGGAAGCTCTGCTGAAACCTGTCCACCACGGGTGACCCCGCTGGTATTTGAAATACCAGTGGCACAGTTTTCAGCATCACAGCAACATGCAGCTGTCACAGTATGATAACCAAGAGATGGGTGGTGTGGATCCCTGCCCGGGAGAAGAACCTGGGCCACGGCAGTGAGAGCTCGGACTCAACCACTAGACCACCAGGGCTGGCTTAAAGATAATTAGCATAAAATAAATACTTATTAGGTTAATAATAGAAGTACATTAGAAAATAAAGGAATTTTCCTTATTCAGATTATTTCTTAAATGATCCCATTTTTGTTCTAACATGGTATTTAGATTAAAAATATATAAACATTGCTTTTCTATTTCTTTCCTTCTTACTTTATTCAAAACATTTGGGAAATTTCTTTATTGCTCCGATTTCAGTTAATATTTTCTATTTTCCTATTATTAAATGTAGAACTGTATTTTACTCTTTTTCTTTTAAAAGTCATAGGCAGGGCCGGTCCCGTGGCTTACCGGTTAAGTGCGCGCACTCTGCTCCTGGCGGCCTGGGTTCGGATCCCGGGCACGCACCGACCTACCGCTTCTCCGGCCATGCTGAGGCCACGGCCCACATACAGCAACTAGAAGGATGTGCCACTATGACATACAACTATCTACTGGGCCTTTGGGGGAAAAAAAAAAAGGGAGGAGGATTGGCAATAGACATTAGCTCAGAGCCGGTCTTCCTCAGCAAAAAGAGGAGGATTAGCATGGATGTTAGCTCAGGGCTGATCTTCCTCACAAAAAATAAATAAATAAATAAAACTGTTTAAAAAAAAAAAGTCATAGGCAAACTTTTCTATAAGTCTAAAATTATTTCAAAATAAAAATTAAAAAGTCATGGGTGTGGGGCTAGGCTGGAGGTGTAGTGGTTAAGCTTGCATGCTCTGCTTCGGTGGCCCAGGGTTTGCAGGTTCGGATCCCGGGTGCGGACCTACACACCGCTCATCAAGCCACGCTGTGGCGACGTCCCTTATATAAAGTAGAGGAAGACTGGCAACAGATGTTAGCTCAGGGCCAATCTTCCTCATCAAAAATTTTAAAAAAAAAACGTTATGCGTAAAGACCTGTAATATTAAAAAAAAAAACCTCTTAACTGAATATTAACTAAATATGGTATTTGTGAGAAGAATTTGGCACGGCACAGGCTCTGGAGTCAGTCAGAGCTGGGTTTGGATCTCCAGCTCTCGGTCTTCACTTACAGGATGAGTGGCAACTCTGGAACATTTCATAATTTGACCTGAGCCCCCGTTAACTTATCTGCTAAACTGAGAACTCATTCTCTCCCTGAGCAGTTGTAAGAAATCAGTGAGATATTCTTAGGTCACCAGCACAGTGCCTTGTACTGAGTAGGTGCCCAATAAATTACCCCACTATGTCCTACCCAACAGGAAAGATAATCCACAACCACATGTATCTCTTAGAACCACTGTCATGAAAATAAAAAGCTAAGTAGCACTATCTTTTTTTAAGTCCAAAGTTATTTTAGTATCTTAAAAAAATTAATGTCTACTAAACTTATATCACCTTAAAGGAAAGACTTGTGTTTTCTTTAGCCTCTCTATTCCCAAAACCTAGAACATAATAAGTGATCAACAAAAGACTGGGAACTGAATGACTATAATTAAGAATTATTTTTTGAAACATAGGCTCTTGATATGATTAATTTTGAAAACAGTAACTTCACCATACAAATAATGGTATTTCAAACACAGATTACGTTACCATAATAATACATACTTTGTTTTTTTCCTAATTTCTTCCACCAACTGTTTGATGTGATCCTCCATAAATTCTATCTTTTCATTTTTCCGAGCATGTGCTTTTTGCAGCCTTACTATCCTCTCAATCAACATGGCCTTGTCTACTTCTGGAAAGTTATCCACAGCTGACGACCCAGTATTTTCTGGAGATCGATCTTCTGCACTGCTTCGAGCATTAAGGGACCCTGAAGATGAAAAAATCAGTTTCGATATTGTACATAGTCTACAGTCATCTCTAACCTCACATATTATTTCTTCTAGCATCATGTTCAAATATACAATCTCACCGAGTTGGGCACAGAACACAACACAAGTCACACCTGGAATGAGTTCTTATTTCTGAATACACTCATGGTAGAAATACCAAAAGGGTCTGTTATGTCTCTCATGAACAGGATGAGGAAGTGGCAATAGAGAAACAAGAAACTCAAGAAAAAGTCAGAATAATAAGTCTGAAGTGAGAACCAAAATTAAACCGAGAGATAGAGACAGACAGACAGACACAGACAGAGAGAGAAAACAGAATACAGCCAGTGGGGTAAGCTCTGAAGCCAGTCTCCCTAGGTTTAAATCCCACTCTTCCTCTTTCTAGCTGTGTGACTTTGGGCAAGTTACTTAACTCTCTGTGCCTTTATCGCTTCATCTTAAAATGGTAATATTATTTACCTCATAGGATTGTTGTCCTTATTTAAATGAGTTAATATATGTGAAGTGCTTAGAACAATGCATATAGTAAGCAATAAGTAAATGTTAGCTATTATTTTTACCAACATCAGTTGAGAATTTCTGATCCTCTTTACCCTACAAAGGTATGGTTTTTTCCAACCCCATTTTGTAGATTTAAGACAAGTAATATATCTTATCCAAGGTCACACACTAATAAATGGCAGAGCTGGGACTTAAATACTTATGTATAATTTCAAACCCATTTCTTTCTACTACACAATTTTCTCAGTATTATAACAGTTGACGATGTTTTCCCCCTAATGTTCAACTCCTGGGAGGCAGTGTAGTGTAGTGGCATGCAAGGACTCCAGAGTCTGCGAGTTCTGTCGCTGTGGATTTTGAGTAAGTCATGGAACCACTCTGAATCTTAGTTTCCTCATCTGTAAAATGGGAACTATAACACTTACCTCACATGACTGTTTGGCAGAGTAAATGATATGTTTAAAGCATTTAGCATGGTTCATGGCATTCCAAAAATGATAAATACACTGATATCTCCCTAATTATTATTTTCATAATGCTATTAATCATCATTTTATAGACTCGATTCATTTTCACTTTAGACCATAGGCATATTTACCATGAGAAAAGCTAAAAGATTAAAAAATACATACACGCATATATATAAAAAATCTGACATATAATGATGACCATTTCATTAGTTCTCAGGTGTTAAAAGTAACATAAAAGTAAAAGAAAAAGAGAGACCATACTACACTAAATCTCTCTATACAGATGGATACAAATCTGAAATAAAAAATGGAAGAGGAAACTGTTGCACAGGATAAAGCAGCAGCAGGTAAGAAAAAAGGAGGTAGGGAAAAAATGATACAGAACCCATGACAAACTTGAAACCCTGGGTAATGATCAGAACTTAAACATTTAACTGGAAATATTTTTTACAATATAATTATGTACAACTACCCCTTTTCATAATTCAAAATGAAGGAAAAGCATATCGATAGGTTTTAAAACAAACAATGCTATTTCTTTTTAAAATCAATCACTGAATAACAACTGAAACCATTAGTTTTTTACCTGATGAACTAGAACGACTTCCCATGCTGCTGACTTCTTTATCATAGCCTCCGTTCTCAACCTGATCTAATTTTCTTCGTGCTATAGGGAAAATAAATGGATTACTTGTGACAATGATCACAACCATTTGCCCCCAGTGTCTCTGATTTTAATTGCTAAAATCACTTAGGCCAAAATGGCATAAACAAGAGAAATTTCTTGAATCCATACTTTAGATAGGAGAACTGCAGGTGTCACTCATAAAAATGACATCTAGAAATGTGCAGGTCAAATACAAAAGATATAGAAGAAACATTATGATAACAACTGATGCTGGCATCAATTAGGCACAGTGAACATAACTTGTGGAGTCCTGAAAGATTGAGCAGATCTCTATACGGTACCAGAAATTTCCCTTCAATCACATCAATAAAAACAAACTGAATTCTTATGGTAAACATCTCAATATATTCCTATTAAGTAAATGCTAAATTTCTTTTCTCTTACTACTATATTTTACCCTATTTTGATACAAATAAAGCAGTGGGGGTAGAGACAAGAAGTCAGAATACATATCTTATTTATCTTTGTATCCAAAAACATAGCACAGACTCCCAATAATTGTATAAATTTTTAAATGAAAGAAATCTGGGTTCCAGTTCTAGCTACTAATCATTGTGTTTGGGTAATTTATAACCTTTCTGGGTCTCAGTTTCCTATCAGGTGAAGGGTTAGGGTTTACAGATCTCTAAGCTAGAGGTCTACAAGGTGGGGTACAGGTACCCCAGATGCTGCACAAAACAAGTGATAAACATTTATAGGGAGAAAATATTAGAACTTCTATTTACACTTATATTTAATCTGATCTTTTAAAATTTCTATTTTTCACGTTTTTCTAATGTACATAAGAGTAATACATGTTTAAAATTTATAAATAAATATACATAAATTGGAGAACAAATGCTTAAATAGTTTTTACTGATAGAAGTATGTGATCAAAAAAGTTTAGACAGTACTGCCCTAAGGTACTTTCCCAATTCTTACATTTTGTGGTTCTGTCAGTAAATGTCCTTTAGCATAGAAGATGCTATAGACTATTCATAGAACTACAAGAAATTCAGCAATTTGGTTTACAAACACCAACACATTAATAAGAACATACAGCTCTCATCAATGTGGTAGACCCTGATGTAAAAGTTATTTTTTTCTATAAATCCTTAATGCTCAAAAGAAACAAAAACATGCGAGGTCTACGGGTGGAAGAATTTTATACCTTGCTGAAGTTGTTTGGTAAGATCCTTGACACTAGAGGCGTGTTTACGTCTCTGAGTTACTAGTTCATCTTTTAATTCTTCAACCTGGGTACTCAGTGCTTCAACTTCTGTCTGTCTACAAGTGAGTTCAGCTTGCAGGGCCTGGACTTCCTCTTTTCGCAGTTCTTCCTCTTTCAACAATCTACTTTCCTAAATATTAAATAAAATACAAAACACCAATTTTAATAACTGTTTGTTTCCATTATTGCGCACAGTTCAAAACCTTAAAAATACAAGGTCTGTGATAGTAGATTGTTCTATCATCACTCCTTACCAGGTTTTGTTTACTGAGCTCTTCAAATTCCTCATCTAGTAATGCAGGGGGATATATTAATGCATTTGCCATTCTATGCATGCAAAACAACATGTGATACAGGATCTCTGTATTTTTTGGACTAAAGTTTCAAATTATTTTTGAGTATAACTTTCAAGTGTAACTTGAAGACACTCTTATAACGTGGAAATACTAAACCATTTTTAAACTATAAAAATATAGAAATTTAAAGTACTTTAAAAAAATATATAGTAATTCCAGTTAGGAATGACAAAAACCCTGTTTTTCTTATCTTCAAATGTGAAACACTACTTCATAACCACTGTAGGGAGAAATTTTATTATAAATTACATAAATTGAAAGGAAAAACTGGTATTTCTCACAGCATTTGAAATTACCAGAAAGTCAGTGTCAATAAAAAAAAAAAAGAGCTTCAATCAACTACCACTAGGGAAATTTAATTTGTGCTTCTTGCTATGTTGCTCTAAAAGTCAAATGTACATTTATACTTACCAAATTAACATTTGTCTGTTTCATTTGTTCACATTGGCTTTGTAACTGACTTTCACTACAGGAAAGTTTATCAAACTGTGACTGCAAAGAATTGGATTCAGATTGAAGTTGTGCATTCTTACTAGTGAGCTTTTCTGTAAAGAGTAGTAGCTCAGATTCTCTTTTCCTACTGCCTTCGATGTCTTTTTGTAGGTCATTAATCAAAGAATTAAGACTTTCCACTTCTTCCTTCAAATTTTCAATTTCTTGTTTACCTCTAAAAAACAAAGTTTATATTTAAGAAAAAAATTAAACTATTAAAAGACATTAAATTAATGGTTTGGGAATTTTCATTGAATGAAATGCTTTATAAAGGTACTTTTATTCATACATCCAAATATTTATTTGGATTTTTATGAATGCCTAATATATGCTAGGAACTAAGAGCCGGGAATATAAGTGAGCAAGACAGACATGGCCCCTGCTTTCAAAGAGCTTTCAGTCAAGTAGGGAAATTATATGAGTAGGATACAACATTTTTGATGATGAAAGTACAGAGCGGGTCACCTAACCCAGTGTAAGTGATGCTTCAACTAATACCCACAGTAGGGGTGAGCAAACTTTTCCTGTAAAAGACCCAGACAGTAAACAATTTAGGCTTCTGGGGCATATGGCCTTTGTTCAACTCTGCCACCATAGTGTGAAAGCAGCCATAGATAATACATAAAGGAAAGAGTGTGGCTGTGTTCCAAAAAAATTTTATTTATAAAAAGAGACAGTGGGCTGCATTTGGCTCGTGGGCCATAGTTTGCTAACTCCTGACCTAAAGGAAAAGAGTGAGTGAGTGGGAGAACAAAATATGTTCCCGGCAGAGGAAACAGTATGTGCTAAAGCTGGGAAGGGAACAAGGGAATGCCTTCTTGTTGGTTCTAACAAACAGATGTTCAATATTGATGAGGATAAGGACTGCACTGTATCCCTAGCACTTAACACAAGGTTTGGCACATAGAAGACAATCAATCAACATTTGTTAATCAACTATTGCTGAAACACAAAAAGTGAAAGAAGAGAAGGCACAGAGGGAGAAGCAAGGTTACTAATGATCTTTCAAGCCATGTTTAAGGCATCTGACCTCACTAGGCAATCCTTGAGCTATGGGAAATCACTGAAAGGTTTTGAGACTTCCTTTTTAAAAAGATTATGCTAATCACAGTGCGGGAAATGGATTAAAAGGGAAATCAGCAAAAACCAGTTTAGAAGCTGTGGCAGATTTCCAGATGAAAGTTGATAATGCCTTGGACAACATAGCACCAGTGGGGATATGAAAAGTAAATGGACTTGAAAGACATTAAAGAGTTAGCATCAACAATACTTTGTGACTGGTTATATGTGTGAGGGGAAGGAGAGAAGAGCCCAGGATGATGCCCAGGAGAATCATGTGGATGCTACACTCATCACTCATTTCAGGAACATCAGAACAGCACGTGTATGCAGAATAGATGAATCCATTTAGACACGTTACAGTCTGAAGTGTCTTTGATACTTGTGTGTCTGGAGTGCAGCAAAAAGGGCTGAAGGTAATGATGTGAAGGTCCTGCAGCATACTATAGGAATGGTTAGGATCACCAAGGGGTACAATAAAATAAGAACAAAAGAGAGTTTTATGACAGAAAGAGAAGGCTGCCAAGGAGACTGAGAAAGAGTGGCCAGGAAGTAGGGAGAAACACCAGTAGAGCATGAAGAAATAAAGCCAAAGGAACAGAACACACCAAGATAATGGACTCAGTGGTGATAGTACCGAAAATTCAAGCAAGGATTAGTCTGAGAAGTGTCTACCAGACTTAAGGAGACATTAGCAGTTTTTAATGGAATGTTGGGTAGAAGCTAGAATGAAGTGGAGAGAAACAGGAGAGCAAAGGAAATGAAGAAGCGGAGGAGGAGCACAGATGATTCTATCAAGACATTTGGTAGTGAAGGAAAGGAGAAAGGTACAGGAAGGTCATAGGAGTTTTGACATTTTTAAGATATAATAATATTTAAATGTAGAAAGAAAAAAAATCAGTAGAAAGAGAGGTAAGAGATACAGGATAAGGAAGGAATAATCAAGAATAAACAAGCAAGACCTTGAGAAGGCAGAAGAGCATGGGATCCACAGCAGACGTAGAGAGAACAGTTCGATTCAGAGAGGAACAGGAACATTTCTATCAGAACAGGAGGAAAAGAAGGAAGAATGGCTGCAGATGCAGGCAAGTTCATAGGACTGAGAGCAAGAGATTGAGAGAACAGTCACCTAACAGCTCCCATTTTTTCTGTGAAGTAAGAGGTAATCGCCTGTCAAGAGTAAACAGCAACGTGAGGGGGAAGACCGTTAAGTGTGAGGCAAGCAGTAAGGTTTGGAATAGATCCTAAGAAGACAGAGGACAAGTCTCTGACTAAGGACATATGGTAGGTTTAGAGGTGCATTAATATTCCCAGTTGAGGTTGCTAACCATGAATTTATAGCAGCATGGATGGATGATGGTGAGGATTTCTTTAGCAACACTAAGCAGCTTGGGTATCAGTAGGGTATGAAAAAGAAGATATTTGGATTCAACCTGAATCCAGGCTCTACCAGGTCATGTCATGAGTAGAGTTTAGCTCAATAGTTTTATAAGAAGCCAAGCAATAATGTCAGCTCCTGACCTCAAGCTACATAGATGCAAAGATACAGATACCGAGACATAGCCACCTTTTAGAAGAAAATGTAAGTATGGTGCGTAAGTAACAGAACTTGAAAGCTAAGGAATGGATGAAGAAACTAAAATCCATTCTGTCTTATAAAATGCTACTGCCAATGTTTAGGGAATATAAACTTTGATTTTTAGAAGCCATGATGAGAACTTCAAAGATAATTCAAAAAAGTTCAAATGAAGACAAGAATTAAAAATATCTTATCCAGTAAAATTGTAAAATTATTCTTGTTTAATGCAATAATTGCATTTAAAAACAGAAACCTGAGACAGAATTAAAAAGCCTGTGGATTAGCACAAACAGAAATTGCTCATTTTATACCTCTGATGCTGCTCCTGTATCTGATCCACAATTTTCACTTTGTCCAATAAATTCTGAATTTCAGCTTTTTGGCGATTAATAATTTCCTTATATTTCGATAATTCATCTTCTGTTCTTAATCGTTCATCTTCTAGACATTTCACCTGTCAAATAATCATAACCAAGTTCAACTACAAACAATATCTTCCTGCCCCTTATTAACTATTTCAGACAGTGGTTACATATCAATAATGTAGGCTGAATTCTGAAGCAGTATTAATTAACGTGAAGAAAATATAAGGGAAGTTAACAGTCCTGGGTTTCAGTCTCAGATTCCTCATGATTTAGTCACGGGAGTTTTAGCTTGTCACTTTATTTTTGCTGACTCTCCATTTCCTGAAAGAGGAAATACCTTCCCTACCCACCTCAAAGGACTGGCAGGGAGAACAAATAGAAGGATACATGACAGACACTTTGAAAATTATTAAGTGATCGCAAATTCAAGGTGGTTACTTAAAAGCCTATTGCTAAATAAATGAATGATATACAATTATAATATATTTCACATTCATATTAAAAGGGATCCTAACTTATGATAAAGTCTATAAACACTGGAAAGGATTTAAGTGATTATTAGAAATTAAAACTGTACACAAGATTATTAAATATATCCAGGAGAAATATAAAGAAAGTCTTTCTATGGGGCTGGCCCCGTGGCTTAGCGGTTAAGTGCATGCGCTCCACTGCTGGCGGCCCAGGTTCGCATCCCGGGCGTGCACTGACGCACTGCTTCTCCGGCCATGCTGAGGCCGCGTCCCACATACAGCAACTAGAAGGACGTGCAGCTATGACATACAACTATCTACTGCGGCTTTGGGGGAAAAATAGATAAATAGATAAAATTATTTTTAAAAAAAAAAGAAAGTCTTTCTATTATTTTCTGACACTCACAGTTTTAAAGTCTATCTATCTTGCCAATTAATTTGCTGATGAGACTGCTTTTAGATCAGAGGCCCGAGGAGAAGTCACAGATACAGCAAATGTGCTGTGGAACAGGAATGTTTGGCAAACACTTCAAAGGGACTGAAGTGGAAGACACTTTCATTTCAACAAAAGAGTCAATTTTGTGCTGAGGAACTGATATTCTACTCTGAGTTCTTTTATTTTGGAAAAATTCTATATAAATATCCTTTCGCCAACATTTTAAAAATCAGAATGACTCCAAAATTAAAGATATTTACCCTTCTTCTGGAGTCATGACTGAAGATTTAATTACCTTTGTTCTCAGTGTCCGGAGCTCATCCATGCCCTCCTTAAATGTCCTCTTCAGATCTTCTAGTTCCTTTATTTTGGCATGATGCATCTTTTAAAAAGTTTAAAAGAAACCACAAATCATTATGTACTAAACCAGATCTAAATTTGTTGCCTGCTCTTTCCAAAAGGCCTTAAAAGTGGATGACAATAAGCACTTGCGATTTCCCTCCTTCTGTATTTATTACACAGTCTAGAGTATGCAAAAAGCAAAACTCACCTCTAGCTGGTCCGATTTTTCTTGCATTTGTTTTTCAAGTTCTCCTTTTGTAACTCGAAGCTTGGCATCAAGCTCATTTGATTTAATTTCTTCTGACTCCTAATGGAAAAGAAATTTAACAAGTATGACAATTTTTAAAGTTTTATACTTAGAAAAGTGAAGAAGGTTTTTGCAATTAAGTTTACTAATAGTGAAATATATAGCTTAAGTTACCTAAAAATGATGACTACATTGAAAGACTTTAAATATGTCAATTTTGCATGAACAAGAACAGCATATTAAGACATGTAACATAATACAGAGTAGTTTCTCTTTTTTTTCCCTGAGGAAGATTAGCCCTGAGCCAACGTCCATTGCCAATCCTCCTCTTTTTTTGGCTTGAGGCAGATTAGCCCTGAGCTAACATCTGTGCCAATCTTTCTCCATTTTTTTTGTTTGTGGGACACCGCCACAGCATGGCTGGTGAGTTGTGTAGGTCCACACCCAGGATCCGAACCTGCGAACCTGAGTCGCCAAAGTGGAGAACGTGGAACTTCAACCACTTGACCACGGCCCAGGCCCTCTTTTTTAAATTATACTTTTTCTTGTACTCTTCATTCTTCTGACATTTTCTAGTATTTTTATTTTGCTAAAAACTTCTCTCATAAGATCTCTACTGAAGCTGCAAGTACTTTAACATAGGAAATAACCTGTATTTTATTTCACTGCCCTACCAAACACATTCCACACCTCAAATGTTGCAGATACAAAAATTTAACAAAACAAGAGTAGTATGGATATTTAGCGTAATTTGTTACTAATCTACCTGAAAAGTTAAGCATACCTGGTATGTTTTTATCATATCCTGACAATTTTTTCGTATCTGATCTGCTTCTTCCTTTGCTTGGGTTAACTTTGTTGTTGTTTCTTTGAGCTTATCTTTGGTTTCCTGCATTGACAAAAACACAGCGACAAGGTTGGGCACACTGATTTGACGGCTGGTAAGAACAATGACCAGAGAGTAGGGAAAGTTCTTGTCTTAGCACTGCCACTGAGGGATTTGATATTATTCTAGTAATAACATTTTATGCTTCTGACAAAAAACTAAAGTGTCCTATGCAGTTAACTGATAGACATTACATAAAGTTAAATTTGATAGTTTTCAGCAAATCACTAGAAGACACTAACCTGATAAGAAGAGCAAAGTTATTTGGACACACACATGAAAGACAATTCTTTGGTTAATGTCCATGGTATCTATGCAAAACTGCTTTTTAATAGATTCATGCTGCAATTTGGTTTCTGTACCTAACCACTCCTAAAACAGCAATTCTGAATGTTTGCAGGGACACTCTCTCATCAAATCCAATTACTTTTTCTTGTTTCTTATTCTTGACTTACCTGCTCCCGTTCTGACCACTCCTGACTTTGAATATCCTTCCTCTGTTTCCATTACAAGACAATATACTCCTGTTTTTTCCCTCTTCGTTCCTGCCTTCTCCATCTCCTTGACTGGCTTTCTACTTCTTGTGGCAATTTTCCAAGATACAGCCCTGCCCTGCAGCTCTTTCTCCAAAATTCTCCTTCAGAGTATCCATCCAGTCCCAAGGTTTTAGCTACTATGAGAGTTTAGGTATCATCTCCTCCTAGTAGCTTCCCTTCAGAAAGGGGCAGATGCTGCTATTCTGCCTTCCCTTAGATTGAATCCAGGGCATCCCTAGATTATAACAATTGATACACTGTACTGTAGCTTATGTGTTTCCCCTGTTGAGGATACAGCTTCTGGACAGCAGCTAGCTCAGTAATTGCCACATATTAACTGTTCAAGTATATTTGTGGAATTAATGAACGAATACATAACATAAACTTTCTGCTCTAGTTATGTTGGTCTTCCCAAACACTGAATACTCATTTCCCTTTTTTGCTTTTTTCTTGTTGTTCCTCCACATGGAATGCCTTTCCCTTCATCTCTTGAACCATCTAAACCGCATCTATCCTTCACATACTGCTTCTTATATGTCATTTTGTTTTTGGATAAATCTACCATACAATTAAGTATTTAGTTATATACTTTCAATTGCTAGTCTTTTAATAATAATTTGACTTGCATTAATAGGTATCACTTTTAAAATATAAACATTTGGAGACTTTTTCAAATATTGGTTTTTTAAACATTAGAATATTAGCTCGATGAGAGGAGAGAGAGACAGAAACTTTTTTCTGGCTTTTTTCTGTCTTATATCATCAATAACTAACACAGAGTTAGCACATTGTAGGTACTCCATTCACTCAAAAAACAGCAATTGAGAGATGCCTATGTGCCAAATAAATATTTATTGAATAAATAAATAATTGAATAAAAGAAAAGTGAGAATCATATTAAATGTGTTTTGGTTAAGGTACTGACTATGCTTCATTCATTGATTCATTCAGTATTCATTGAGAACCTACTATGTACCCAGCACTGTTCTATGCTCTGGGGAAATAGTAGTGTGAGAAAACAGACAAAATCTCTACTCTTATAGAGCTGACATTCTAGTAATGGAGATAGATAGTAAGTAAAATACGTAAGTAAAAAAATTATATTAGATAGTCACAAGTGCTAAGGAATAAAAATAAAGTAAGGACATGAGAAAGTTTGGGGGGAGGTGTTGAAAGTTTAGAGAGGGTAGTCAGGGAAAGTCTCTGAGAAGGTGATAGATGGTAAAGACTTGAAAGAAGTGAGCAAGATTTGCTAAGGAACTGGAAAATGTGACTGAGATAACTCAAGGATAAATCTAAGGCTTTTAACCTGAGCAACTAAAAGGATGGACTGCCATTTATTGAGATGGGGAGGTGATGGAGGGAATGGGCACATTATCCACTCAATTTTAGACATGTTAAGTTGAAGATGCCTGTAAGTCATCCAAGATGTCAGATGTCAAGTAGCCACTTCAATATATGAATCTGGAAATCTGGGTAGAAGTTATAAATCTGGGAGTCACTAGTACATAGTTTTCTACTGCTATATTTTCATATATGTTTCTCAAGTTTCATGTTTTTCAAATTCACTAATCTTGTCTTCTGCAGTGTCTAATCTTCTGTTAATTCCATCCAATGTATTTTTTTATTTTTTCCCCCAAAGCCCCATTAGATAGTTGTATGTCACAGCTGCACATCCTTCTAGTTGCTGTATGTGGGACACGGCCTCAGCATGGCTGGAGAAGCGGTGCATCGGTGCGCACCCCGGATCCGAACCCGGGCCGCCAGCAGCGGAGCGCGTGCACTTAACCGCTAAGCCACGGGGCCGGCCCAATCCAATGTATTTTTAATCTCAGACATTATACCAATTTGGCCTTTTTCAAATCTTCCACGTCTCTCCTTAACATACTCATGCTTTATTTATATTTCTGAATATACGGAGTATATTAATAATAGCTGTTTTAACATCCTTGTCTACGAATTCTATCATCTATATAATTTGTGGCTTTGTTTCTATTGATTGATTCTTTTCTTCTCATTATAGGCTATACTTTCCTGCTTCTTTGCATGTCTGGTCATTTTTTATTGGATACCAGACATTATGAATTTTATGCTTTTAGATCCTGGAGATTTTCATACTCATTTAAATAGTCTGGGGCTTTGTTCTCGGACATAGTTAAGTTATTTGAAATAATTTGCTTCAAGGCTTTCTTTTAAAGCTTTGTTAGGTGGGTCCATAACAGACTTTATTCTATGGCTAATTAGACCCCACTGCTAAAGCAACACCCTTCTAAGGACCATTTGATGCCTTGTGTGTTAAGAGGGTTTTCTCTTGGCTGGTGGAAACATGAACCGTTCCTAGAGCTCTGGGAATTGTTGTCCCTATCCCTTTCTGATAGTTCTTTCTCCACCTCTGTAGTTTTCTCACACACATATACTGATTAGTAGTGAGCTAAAGAATTGAGGGGAACATACCACGGATCTCCATATCTTTCTCCTCTCTGATACTCTGCCTTGTTCCCCATACTTCAAACTCTGTCTCCTCAATTCAGGGAGACTGCTAGACTCTGTTTGGGTTCCTTTTCTTTTGCTGTAACTTGGAAACTTTCCAGGTATTACATCTTGCTTGTTTCCCTCCTCTCAGAGATGACTGTCCTATTCTGTCTGTATTGTCCCAAATCTAAAAACCTTGTTTCATATATATATATTTTTTAGTTTTTTAAGGTAGGAGGGTAAATCTGGATGCTGTTACTCCATAATGCAATAGAATATACTTATAGCACAGAAGAGTTATAGAACACAACATAGAATATAGTTTTACTAAGGGAGATAAAAGCAAAGCTAATTAAAAGTGAGCCTTAGCTTCTAATTAGTGGGCCTTATGAGTAAACAAACCATTTAAGAATGAGGCTATCACTGACAACATGTAACCTTGGGAGAAGAGCATAGGAAGCGGCAGTCTTGTTGAGGGAATACATAAAATATACCGACCCCTGGTGACACATTAGGTATGCAGTCTATTACAGTCTATTACATCCTGCTGGTCTGGATGTTGCCTTAATACCTAAGACTCCAGTGTTCTAGTTTGCTCTGAAGCAAAAATATCTAGCAGCACCCAGCACAGTCACACCACGGTCTACAAAGTTCTACTGCCACATCTGTTGCCAGCCATATCTATGCTCCAGTGAGATTGTCCTATCCCGAGACCAGGTAAATAGATGGCAACTGGGTAAGTGAGGTACACTGGGGGGAAGTCCTTCTTCTTTATTCACTACACTCAAAAGGCTTTTGTTTTTAGAGGCTAGGTGTTAAAAACACATTTCAGTTTAATCTCTGAGGGAGTTTAGGGAAGGGAACAAATAAGTGGTTTCTATTGTTTGACCCTACTGCTGATTCCATTGATGATCAGGGTATCCAGTCTACCTAGTCTAAGACTTAAGTTCAGGTTATATGCCCTGGAGGTCTGATCAGAAGCTAATGATCACAACAAATCCAGTAACCTCCAGGACTCCAGTATTAATACCTAAGACTTGGTGGGCAGGGACTAGAAATTGGAAAGGGTGCCTGGAGAAAGCCTGACTACGAGTCCTGGCTCTTGTCCACATCTCAAGAGCTGGCCTACACTGCCCAGATCATGATTAAATCTTCTCTCGTTTGATGCAGAGACTCCCTCTCACATCCACTAGGTAAATAGGTACAACAGGTAACCAGGATCCCATCCCAGACACTCTTTGAAAGCAATTACTGTGTCTTCTATGGCTTTTATATCCTCCATATTGTTTAATACAGTGCTGTGCACAGATGGAGAACTAGTAAAATGCTGGCTGGTTAATAAGTGCTTTTAAAAAGAACTGGTAAATTTCTAATTTTCACATACCAGGTCAATATGCTTGATATTTTCATTTCCTAGCAATCTACACCATGTAACCTTATCACGTCAGCCTTAAACCTACTTACAAAGTATCTGGTCTCATCTGACTGCAAAGCTGCCATTAAATCTGTTATCACCCATTCTTTGAACACATATGGCTCAGAACACAGAAGACCTAACTGGCCTTTTACTCCTTAATGCTAGTGTTCCAATAGGTTTTAGGACCCTGTCTCTTAGGACCATAGACGAGGACGAGGAAAGTGCCACAGACATTAGATGTGACCGGGTATTATGCTCAGAACTTGAGGCAACTCAGGTAGTTTAGAAATCATTACCATGCCACAGGATTTGGCATTTTAATTCCCCATCCTGGAACCCAAAGTAAAGGGAAAACTTGAAACGGTTTGTAGTAGCCCTGTTTGAGGTCCAGGGATTGCTGCCCCTGCTCCTTTCTGGTAGTTCTTTCTCTGCCTCTGTAGTTTCCCAACACTCATGCGCTGATCAGTAGTTAGCTCAGAACTTGAGGGAAACCCACCATCCTCTAACCCATCTTTGACCACTGTCAACACAGACAAGTCTCCTTACACTTGACTTTGATAATATTATATACAAATATCCAAACGTTATTAACAGTCCTACTGACTAGAATTATTTAATGAGATAACTCATGATTAGTTTCAAACAGTATCATTAAGCCTCTTTTTGAAAACTTGGAAATTCTTCTTTCCATAACACTGCTCTTCCATTTAAGCCACATTTCAGAGTTATTCTTCACTCACATCCTATTATCTTCAGATTTTTACTACCTCTAATACCAGTTCAGGCAGTGCTGCAAATTATGGCATCAGGTACCAGTCTTTATAATCACTTTTCATTATATTAATCTTTTGATAAAATGACATTCATTAGGCACAATACCAATGGATTTATATTCATAATAAACAGAGAAGGAAATTTATTCTTAAAATCTTTATATTACATTTATATTCAAATAAGAATTTATATTTCTTGATTGTAAGAATCTAAGCATTACTGATCATTTAAAAAATTTCCAGAGTTTACTTTCAATTTTGATATCCTACAGATTCTCCTCTTCTCCTTGAATTTCTGACAACGTTTAATATAAAATATAGCATACCAAAAAATGCTTAAAGAACAAAGTCAGTTTGGGGGTTGTAAACAATGAATAATAAAATTTAACATTCTATCCAATTTAATATGTAAATTATGCAAGGAAATATCTTTTTACAATCAGTAAAATTTTACAACCAACATTCAGGCCCAAGCTATCCTAAAGAAGTCACTAAATTAAGTTTTGCGCCTCATTAACTATTACTGCATTTGCCCTTAAAACTGATTCTAATAATTTTTCCATTGCTTTACAGTACTCACCTTGTGTGAATCCACTTCTGCTTTCAATTTGTTTTGTGCCCATTTTACTTTAATGATGTGAGAGCTGATATCTTCCTTTAATTTTTCTATCTCTCTGACGAGTCTAGTAGTTTCACCTTCCTAAAATAACATCACTAGGTCATATTTTTCATTTAAACAATCAAGCAATTAGTGTACCTTTTATACCTCCTCAAAATAATGCAATAACACTATAATTCAGGGGCTGGCACATTATGGCTTAAAAGCCAAAAAACTGATTTAAAGCTCAAATCATAAAGAGGGCAGTAAACCACTAAATCCAATTAACAGACATAAGGTGATTAACATATATATTTTAATCAGCTAGATAGGTTGCGAGTACAAGCATACCTTTATGATTCTTCTCAACTGGCTGGCATTAAGGTAAAAAGTGAATTAAATTGGTTTTGCCAGAATTCCTGAGAACAATGACAACATTCCTGAACTAAAAGTTAATAAAAACTAACATTCATCACCAAGAAATGATAATCCACTGGAAACAAGACCATGCCATGAGGCTGCTAGTTAACAGCAAGGGCTCTGAACCTAAAACAGCTCAGTAATTAAATCTCCTTGGACAGCATCTAAGAAGAGTATGTTTTTTTGCAAGAAAAATATAAATTCTGTTCTATGATGAATAAGTGTTATATTAAGATTCTGGTCAAATTATACTTTTGGCTCAAAAACTATTCCTATTTTGATACTATTATGCATATATCCTACCAAAATAAAATCTTCCCTTGAGACACAAACTCATTTTCTTCAACAAAAATTTTAAAAGAAAGTTCTCAAAAAAAAATCTATCAAGATAGAGTTATCTAACAAACAACGTGTCAATATCTCATCTTTTCTCAGCAAACACTTTTTGCAGACAGGTAAGCAGATACTGGAATTACTAAAGCATTCACGTTCTCAGAAGGCAAACTAATAAAAACAACTTTATGTCTAATAGTGGTTTAACCATGTTAAGTTATGATTACTTGCTTAAATAAGGAAAAGCAAAGAGAACAACGTTCCAATGAGGTACAAGAGCACAAGTTATACCTTTGTTTCGTACAGCTGGTGCAACCGTCCTTTCTCCTGAGAAAGCTGCTTAATTTTGTTAGTGTTTTTCTCAGATTCTTTATTTGCATCTCTAAGTTTTCTCTCAAGCGTCTCTTTTTCCTTTCGAAGGTCTAAAGATTCCTTCTCACCTCTTACATACTTCATTACCATTGCTTCTTTTTCCTGGCGTGCCTCTTCACATTTCTTGTTGGCCTTTGAAAAAATATCTAGTATTAATAAAAAACATTTTCTCAAATCAAAATAAATAATATTTTTGTATAATATTACCAAGGTATTTTTTGGTTTTTGCATAACATTCCCAGTACCTATATCATGAAATTTTATTTTATTTTTTTTAATAATTTTATTTATTTATTTTTTTCCCCCCAAAGCCCCAGCAGATAGTTGTATGTCATAGTTGCACCTTCTTCTAGTTGCTGTATGTGGGACGCGGCCTCAGCATGGCCGGAGAAGCGGTGCGTCGGCGTGTGCCCGAGATCCGAACCCAGGCCACCAGCGGCGGAGCGCGCGCACTTAACCGCCAAGCCACGGGGCTGGCCTTGTCATGAAATTTTAAAACGAAAGGAAAAATTCAAAACTATTGGCTGGCTGGTATGGTTGCTCTTTTCTGTTTACTCCTCCAGATCCACTTTTCCACTTTTCCTATCCTACCCCGTGCTCCAGGAAGTGACCCTCAGGGACTAGATCAACAAACTTCCTTACCCTCATACTTCCAGTTGGGTTCAGCCAACAGGGGTCACTAGGCAGAAGATGGGGGCGTGCAGAGAGTGGGATCTGGCTCCTCGAGAATCACCACAGGTTGGCTGAAGCCCCCTGCTCCTGTCAGGTGCCCTCTCTATACAACTACCTTCCCTGGGTTGCACTACCTGTGTCTTCTCCTTATTCCTTTAGCCCAAAGAGTGATAATGCCTTCTCCAGCAGACCCAGAATCCTGCATTTTCCCTTGCTGGGCGCCCTAAATCTTGCCCATACCTTTGAGTAAAGAGTCTTTTTATTAAATTCTCCTCAAATCACCAGTTTCTGTTTTCTGCCAGGACGCTGACTGTATGGATGACAATTTCTAAAATCTATAATCTTAGCTCACTCAAAGAGTAACAATATGCTAATTAATGATCATTTGATTTCCTATATAAGAAAAGCTTCTTAAAGTATTTTGCACTTAATGAGAAATACCTAATTGGATTAAGCGTGACATCTATATACTCATTTAAAATTCTCTACTACTGGGGGCCAGCCACATGGCGTAGCGGTTAAGTTCGCTCATTCCACTTCGGTGGCCGGAGGTTTTGCCGGTTCAGATCCTGGGCACGGTCCTACTCACTGCTCACCAAGCCATGCTGAGGCAGAGTCCCACACAGAAGAGCTGAAACTCTACAACTATGATACACAACTATGTACTGGGGCTTTGGGGTGGGGGGGGGGGAAGAAAGAGGAAGATTGGCAACAGATGTTAGTGCAGGGCCAATCCTCCTAAAAAAATAACTCTCCATTACTATAAGCTAGTACTCTATATTCTGAAATTTCATACAATGAAAACTTCTACAGATAGCCTTTCATTTAAGTAGATTCACAGTTTGCAAATATGATAGAGTACATATTTCTTTTATAGAGGATAGAATCTTAAACTTCAGGGACTTTCAATGATGTCTAGTGGTAAACGCCAACTGATACTCTAACTGAATTGAAGACGGTATAGTGTAGGAAAAGCTCCTATGCTCTAATGAAGGATAGGAGCTTTGTTTTAATGACAAAGTTTCATGAAGTTCTGGTACAGGTGATAAGTACACCTAGTAAACACTCAGAATACTATACATATACATATAAGTACTTTTTTTAGTCGTCCAATTGGGATTTTTTCCCCCACTGAAACAGCCTACTAATTTTCAAGAAAAACTAAGGAAAATATTGGAATAGGGATATCAGAGATCTCTGAGGATTTGACAATATGCTTGTGGACAGTATGCTTGAGAAAACTGTGCTGGAATTGGCTAATGGAATTAGCTAGACTTTTAGATAACTGAATAACTGTACTTAGAAGAAGTCAATTAATGCTAATGTCAACTTTAAAAGAAGTCTGGTTTCATGACAACTTAACGGTCAGATATTGTATGAGCTTTTGAGAACACAAAGAAGAATAACTTGTGGCTTCTGTTCTGGAAGAGCTCACTACCTAGTAAGAACAACATATAAACAAACATATAATACAATGTAATTTCTAGTGAATGAGTGTACAAAGTTCTCTGAAAACACAAAAATACTAACATACCCTGGGAAGAGCTGGCATTAACAGTGAAAGATGCTTTACTTGAATGAGGTGCTATACTTGAGCTAGACATTGAAGGTTAAGTAGGATTCAATACAAGACAAGGGGTTAGTCAAGGAAAGAAATTCAAGGTTAGAGCGATTATCATGTGCAAATGCCTAAAAGTATAAAATAGTATGATACTTAGAGGATATCGAGTCATTTGGTAAGGTTTAAATTTGGTGTGTTGGTTGGAGTGGGTAGCACGTAGTTATAAAACAGAAAGAGAGGGAGAGATTAGATCCTGAAAGGAAAAAGGCCTTCTCTTGTAACGCTAATGATTTGAGACTTTTATCCTATAGGCAATGGGAAGCCAAAAAAAAGATTTATAAATCAGAACCTTTTATTAAATGTGTGTTTTAGTAAGATAACTGGTGGCAGCATGAAAGCTTCATTGAAGTTGAGAGATAAGCAGAAAAACCAGAAAAAAGACAACTACAATAGAAGTAAAATATTATGAGGCTCTTGACGGCAGCAGGGACTCTGCACCAGAATGTCCTGTTACTCAGTCATCTGTGGGTCAGTTGCAAAAGAATAACCTGGGTGCTAAAAGTTCACATTTCTATGTCCCACCTCAGAAAACGGCAGCAACTCCTTCATAGGATTGTTGGGAATATTAAACAAGATAATATAGTGACTACTATTTAAGCTTCTATAGAAAGTCAGTCCATTTATGGTATAGATAAAGAAAGACAAGCCAGTAAAAGTCTTTGGATTTGACCAGTTTAAGACTTTCATCATTGATGTGGATGAAGATAAAGCATGAATAAGAATGCTGATAGCATTCAACAATCAGCTAAAAATTAAGATACCATCTAAGAAGTTCTGCTTGCAGATTAACCCTCCCCATTCAAAACACCAAAAATTTTAGATGAAATACAACAAACATCCTTTTAATGTACAGTTGAGCTCAAGAGAAAGTCAGAGAAATCCCCAGGGCCAAAAAATCTAAGAGGAAGCAGGAAGGGCTGAAACCTTCATTTACCAGTACCAGGCCATAGGGGCAGGAGTGGGACATGTTATAAAGTCCCAGAGAATTTATAACATAACCCCACCCTCCTGTAAGTGTGAGGTTCAAATTCATTCTACCTATTTGGTCTGAGAAATGAAGAAACCTCAAGCTGGAAAATTAAATTGGAGAGTGTTTGTGTTTGTGTGCATGAACACATGCACACTCATGCTGGGAATCTATTTCTAAATAAAACTTACCAGGTTTGGTGACTCTAGGTAAAGGGTAAACAAGTGTTCATTTTATTATTCTTTTACCTTTTCTAGAGGCCTGAAAATTCTCAAACTAAAAAGTTGAGAGGAAAAGTTAGGGGAAAAAAGGAATGAAGCAGATCTATAAAGAATTAAATGGAACAGTCTCCAAAACCTACTTAATAATAGCCATCTCTTAGGGTTGTTGTGAATATTAAATAAGTTAATGCTTGTCCATTGTTTGAACATGGGCTGGCACACAGCTAAAACTCACGTTAGCTACCATTATTAACCTCCCCTCCACTCTTCATCATTAGGGAGGAAACAGATACATCATAGTGAGTGTAATAGGATGTCATTTGTTAAAAAAAGGGGAATGGGGGAAGAAAGGGAATATATAAATGCCTGTCTACACAACAAACATTTTGGGAAGGATACACAGGAAACTGGCATCAGTGGTTGACTCTGGGAAGAGGCAAACGAGAGAAAAGGTTTGGAAGAAGACTTATTTTTTATTGTTTGAATTGTTATCGTGCATGTTACTCTGTTTTTATTTTAAAATATAATCTCCAAAGAATTTTTTTTTTTTTGTGAGGAAGATCAGCCCTGAGCTAACATCCATGCTAATCCTCCTCTTTTTGCTGAGGAAGACTGGCTCTGAGCTAACATCTATTGCCAATCCTCCTCCTTTTTTCCCCCAAAGCCCCAGTAGATAGTTGTATGTCATAGTTGCACATCCTTCTAGTTGCTGTAGGGGACGCGGCCTCAGCATGGCCGGAGAAGCGGTGCATCGGTGAGAGCCCAGGATCCCAACCCGGGCCGCCAGTAGCAGAGTACGTGCACTTAACCACTAAGCCACGGGGCTGGCCCTCCAGAGAATATTTTTTGAAAAAAGCTCACTAGGGGGCCAGCCCCGTAGCATAGTGGTTAAGTTCGCACTCTCTGCTTCGGCGGCCTGGGGTTCGAAGGTTCGGATCCTGGGCACAGACCTACACACCGCTCATCAAGCCACACTGCGACGGCCTCCCATACATAAAGTAGAGCAAGATGGGCACAGACGTTAGCTCAGCAACAATCTTCCTCAAGCAAAAAGAGGAGGATTGGCAACAGATGTTAACTCGGGGCCAATCTTCCTCATCAAAAAAATTAAGAAAGCTTACTAGGTGATTCTAATGAAGTTATGCTTGGGTCCACTAAAACTAACAACTTCTTAGGTCTTATCCTCTATATTTCCCTCCAATTAGTACAAAAAGTTTGAGAAATTATAGTATGAGTTTTAAATACATAACACATTTCTAACACTAAAGGTCAGTATATTATAAAGAATAACAGAAATAAAGGTTGAAGATAATCTGTTTCCTAAAGTTCTTCCTGAAAGCCACCTACAGTAGCAGCTTCAGGATAAAACGACTGGATCCATCTCACTCACACTGTAAGCAGTCAGTTAACCCTCTCTGTTTCAATTCACTGTGAGGACCAATTGTTAGGCACTGTGCTGGGTGTTATGGATACAGAAATGAAGATGACTAAGATCTCATCCTTAAGGAGTTCAGGCAATAATAATCATACAAAAGCATTGTTTAAAATGATCTCATTTGAAAAACATATATACCGACTCAAAAAGATTACCAAGGTATATTAAGTAGAGAAATAAAGCAGGTTACAAAAAAAAAAGATGTACAGTAAGATTCCAATCAAGTAGGGGAAAAACGTATATGAATAGATACACATAAGCATGTGTGACATATATACATCTGTGGCAAGATACATAACCAAAATATGAATAATTAGCTATGGAACAAGGAATGGGATATAAAGGGATTGGGGGCAGGAAGGGAGAAGCATAGATGAAGGGGGACTTTGTTTATTCTATACACTTCCTTAATTTATTAAATATTTTCTTGTAGTTAACATGTATTTATGTATTGCTTTAGCATTTTTTAAAAAAGTTAATTTTTATATAAATAAAATTACTTATTCCTAATATTCCTAATATTCCAAAATTGTCTAATAGGGTTAGTTTATGTTAATAAACAAGAAAGAGTCATCAGAAAGTTAACAATGATAATTGGGCCGGCCCTGTGGCTTGGTGGTTAAGTGCGCGCGCTGCGATGCTGGCGGCCCGGGTTCGGATCCCGGGTGCGCATCGAGGCACCACTTCTCTGTCCATCCTGAGGCCGAGTCCCACATACAGCAACTAGAAGGGTGTGCAGCTATGACATACAACTATGTACTGGGGCTTTGGGGGCAAAAAATAAAATAAATAAAATCTTTAAAAAAAAAAAAAAAAGAAAGTTAATAATGATAATAACTTGAAAAATACCTGTTCCATCCGCTGGGCCATCTCTTTGTGTAATTGCTGAATTGCATTTTTAGCTGCAATGTCTTGAGCTACTAGTTTATCTTTGGAAGCTTTAACTTCTTTATTAAGTTCCTCTATTCTTGATTCTAACTGTAAAAAAAAAAATTATTTCTAGATTATTTTTATAGCTATATCAAACAGGCCACCAATACCTCAAAAATAAAGACAAACAACGTAAACAAAAATAAAGAATGCAATGAATAGACTTCAACCATAGAAATCGAAAGTAGACGTTAGCAATGTTTCTATATTTCATTAGAATTAAGACAGTATAAATCTGAAGCAGATTCTGATAAGATAGATGGTAAGTTCTGGCACAATTACTAAGGAAATAACTCAAAAAAATATTGTGAAAATATCATGAAAGAAATTTAAATGTTACATGGTCACTTGTGCAAAAGAAAGCAGTAAAAGAAGAATAGGAGAACAAAGACAGGAGACATACGGAATACTAAAAAACGGTAGACATAAATCCAACTGCCAATAATAACATTAAACGAGTGGATTAAATAATCATATCAAAACACAGAGATTGTCAGACTGAAATAAAAAACAAGATCCAACAACTATGCTCTCTACAAGAGTTGCTTTAGATTCAAAGATATAAATAGACTGAAAGTAAAAGAATGGAGAAAGATATATCATGCAAACAGCAACCACAAGAAAGTAGGAGTGGCTATATCAATATCAGACAAAATAGACTAAAATAAAAAATGTTACTAGAGATAAAGAGGGACATTTCCTAATGATAAAAGGGTCACTCTGGCAGAGATGTATGACAATTATAAATATACATGCACCTAATAACATAATACCAAAATACATGAAGCAAAAACTTACAGAAATGAAGGAGGAAACAGACAATTGAACAGTAACAGTTGGAGACTTCAATATTTCACTTTCAATAATGGACAGAACGAGACAGAAGATTAACAAGGAAATAGGAGACTTGAACAAAACTATAAAACAACTGGATCTAACACATCTATACAACATTCCACCCAGCAACAGCAGAATATACATCCTCACCAAGTACAGATGGAATATTCTCCAGGATAGAACATACGTTAGGTCATAAAACAAATCTCAATAAATTAAAATATTGAAATTATTAATAAATTATCTTCTCCAATCATAAGCAAATGAAATCAGAACCCATTAACACAGAAAGAAATTTGAGAATTCACAAACATGTAAGAATTAAACAACACCTAAATAACCAATGGGAGAAATCAGAAAATACTAGATGAATGAAAATAAAGACACAACACACCAAAACTTATGGGATGCATCCAAACAGTGCTTAGAAGGAAATTTATAGCTATAAACACCTATATTAAAAAACAAGAAAGATCTCAAGTTAATAAACTAAACTTCCATCTTAAGACATTGGAAAAAGAAGAGCAAACTAAACCTAAAGCCAGCAAGAGGAAGGCCAAAATGATGATTAGAGAGGAAATTAATGAAATGGAGAGTAGAAAAATAGACAAAAATCAACAAAACAACAAATGGTTCTTTGGAAAGATCAACAAAATTGATAAACCTTTAAGCTAGATTGATCACTAGAATCAAAATGAAAGAGGGACATACTGACCTTACAGAAATGAAAAGAATTATGAATGAATACTACGAACAATTTAACTTAGATGAAATGGAAAATTCCTAGAAAGACACAAACTACCTAAAGTGGCTCAAGAAGAAATAGAAAATCTGAATACACCTATAAGAGATTGAATTAGTAATCAAAAAATTTAAAAAAACTATCTACAAAGAAAAATTCAGGCCCAGCTGACCACATGGGTAAATTCTACCAAACATTTAAAGAATTAATACCAATTGTTCACAAACTCTTCTCCCCAAAAAGGAAGGAACACTTTCCAACTCATTGTATGAGGTCAGTCCTACCTTGACAAAAAAACCAGACAAAGACATCACAAGAAAAGAAGACCAATATCTCTTATGAATATAGATGCAAAAATTCTCAACAAAATACTAGCAAACCAATCATGCAATATATAAGAAGAATTATACACTACGACCAAAAGGGATTCATCCTAGTAAGGCTAGGCTGATTTAACATGTGGAAATCAATTAAGGGAATACACTGTATCAATAGAACTAGAAACACATAATCATCTCAATAGATGCAGAAAAAGCATTTGATAAAATTCAACACACTTTCATGATAAAAACACTCAACAAATCAGGAATAAAAAGGAACTTCTTCAACCTGATAAAGAGCATTTGTGAAAAACCCACAGCTAACATTGTACTTAATGGTCAAAGACTGAAGGCTTTCTCAAAACCTAAGACCGGGAATAAGAGAAAGATACACACTCTTGCCACTTTTATTCAACATTGTATTGGAGGATCCAGCCAGGGCAAACAGTCATGAAATGAAATAAAAGGCACCCAGATTAGAAAGGAAGAAGTAAGTGAAATTCTGTTTGCAGATAATATGATCTTGTATATAGGAAATCCTAAGAAATTCACAAAAAAATTTTTACAATAAATGAGTTCAGCAAGGTTACAGGATATAATATAAAAAAATAAACTGTTTCTACACTTGTAATTAACAATCTGAAAATGAAATTAAGAAAACAATTCCATTTGCAATAGCATCAAAAAGAATAAATTACCTAGCAATAAATTTAACAAAAGAAGTGCAAAACTTACACTCGAAAAACTACAAAAGATTGTTGAAAGAAATTAAAGATCTAAATAAATGGAGAGACATCTCATGTTCGTGAATTGGAAAACTTACTATTATTAAGATGGCAGTACTCCCCAAATGAATCTATAGATTCAAAGCAATCCCTAACAGAAACCCAGCAGGCTTCACTGTTGAATGACAAGCTGACAGTAAAATCCATATAGAAACGCAAAGAGCTGAGAATAGTCCAACAATCTTGAAAAAGAACAAAATTCAAGAACTCTCACTTTCAAATTTCAAAACTTACTACAAAACAACAGTAATCAAGACAGTGTGGTACTGGCATGATGACAGACATACAGATCAATGAAACAGAATTGAGTGTCCACTCAGTAAAGGAAGAATAGTCTTTTCAACAAATGGTTCGGGGACAACTGGATAGCCATATACAAAAGAATAAAGTTGGACCCTTACATCATACCATATACAAAAACCAACTCAAAATGAATCAAGACCTCAATATAAAAGCCAAATTATAAAACTCTTAGAGGAAAACATATGTGTAAATCTTCATGATCTTAGATTTGGCAATAGAGTCTTGCATATGACACAAATTGCACAAGCAGTAAAAGAAAAACAATAAAGTGGATATCATCAAAATTTAAAACTTTTGTGCTTCAAAGCACACCATCAAGAAAGTGAAAACAGGGCCTGGCTCCATGGCTGAGTGGTTAAAATTTTGCACACTCCACTTCCGGGCACAGACCTACTCCACTCACTAGCCATGCTGCGGTGGTGTCCGACATATAAAGTAGAGGAAGACTGGCACAGATGTTAGCTCAGGGCTAACCTTCCTCAAGTAAAAAAAAGAGGAAGACTGGCAACAGATGTCAGCTCAGGGCAAATCTTCCTCACCAAAAAAAAAAAAAAAGTGAAAACACAATCCACAGAATGGGAGAAAATATTTGCAAATCATATATCTGATAAATGTTTAGAATACAGAATATAAAAAGAACTATCACAACTCAACAATAAAAAAAATTTAAAAATGGGCAGAGGACTGAGATATTTCCACAGAAATATCTATTTAAGATATACAAATGGCCAACGAGCATAGGAAAAGATGTTCAACTTCACTGGTCATTAAGAAAATGCAAATCAAAACCACAAGATATCACTTCAAACCCATGAGGATGGCTATAATCAAGAAGTCCAATAATAGTAAGTGTTGGCAAGGATGTGGAGAAATCGGAACTCTCATACACTACTGATAGGAATATAAAATGGTACAGCCACTTTGGAAAACAGTGTGGCAGCTCCTCAAAAAGTTAAATATAGAATTATCATTTGACCCAACAATTCCACTCCTAGGTATATACCCAAATGAAATGAAAGCATATGTCCACACAAAAACTTGTATATGAATATTCATAGCAGCATTATTCATAATGGCCAAACTACAGAAACAACCCAAATATCCATGAACTGATGAAAGAATAAACAAAACATTGTTTATCTATACAATGGAATATTATTTGGCCATTAAAAGAAATGAAGTATTGATACACGCTACGACTTGAATAACACCTTGAAAATATTATGCTAAGTGACAGGAGCCAGACACAAAAGGCCACATGCTGTATGATTCCATTTATATGAAATGTTTAGAACAGGCAGATATAGAGAGACAGAAAGTAGATTAGTTGTTCCCTAAGGCTCAGGGAAGGGAGAGGAGAGGGGTTGGAGGGAAATGAGGAGTGACTACTAATGGATATAGGGTTTTTCTTTTGAGTGAGAAAATGTTCTAAAATTGTGATAAACGTTGCGCAACTAAAAAACACTGAAGTGTACACTTGAAATGGGTGAACTGTAAGGTAGGTAAGGAATTATATCTCAATAAGCTGTTAAAAAAAACGTAAATGTTAGCTTACAGTACGTGTACTAATTTTCCTCATGACAAAATTATCTAGAGCAACACTATCCAATAGAAATACATGCCACAGGTGTAATTTAAATTTTCTATTAGCCACATTTTAAAAAGCAAAAAGAAACAGGTGAAATAAATAGTATGTTTTATTAAACCCAATATATCCAAAATATCATTTCAAATTAAGCTGTTTTACCTTTCCTTGTACTAAGTCTTCAAAATTAAGTGTGTATTTTACGCTTACAGCACCTCTTAATTTGGACTAGCCACTATTCAAGTGCTCAATAGCTATATGTGGCTAGTGGCTGCCATATTGAATGGTGCAGATCTAGAGATAAAATTAAGAAAATCCTGTTATACTGGCCAGCAAAAGAAAGGTGAGTCCAATTTTCTCTTTAAAAAAGGCACAACCACTAACAAGCTCGGGAAAGGAACAGCTCTGGCTCTCTCCCATCTACTCAGTCTGAAGTTTCTGGTCATTAGCAGTGATCTGTTTAGCAAAACATGGATTCAGCCTAATATTAAGGCTCCCTCGAACTTTAAAACTCTAAGTTCGGTTTACATTTGGTGGCCCCAGAGCACATAAAAATCAGGATTAAACAGGGGCCGGCCCGGTAGCGTAGTGGTTAGGTTTGCACGCTCCACTTTGGTGGCCCGGGATTTGCAGGCCTGGATCCCGGGTGCGGACCTATGCACTGCTTATCAAGCTATGCTGTGGCAGGCATCCCACATTTAAAGTAGAGGAAGGTGGGCATGGATGTTAGCTCAGGGCCAATCTTCCTCAGCCATAAAAAAATCAAGATTAAATATGTAAAATTTTACAAACACAGTCACCTTCCAACTGTGCAAAGGTTCATTAAGTATACCAAGGCACAAGTAAGTGAAACTTAGTTTAATTTTTTATTATATTATTACCAATTGTTTACTGTTATTTTCATTATATAGCTTTCTGGGAAGGTGAGACAAAAGGGAAGACTTTTTTTTTTTTTTTTTTTTTTTTTGCTGAGGAGGATTTGCCCTGAACTAACATCAGTGCCAATCTTTCTCTGTTTTTTAGTATGTGGGCCGCCAGCACAGCATGGCCGCTAACAAAGTAGTGTAGGTCTGTGCCCAGGAACTGGACCTAGGCTGCCAATGTGGAGCTTGCCAAACTTCATCACCAGGCCACGGGGGCTGGCCCAAAAGGGAAGACTTTTTAAGGCCAGAATGATTCTACTCCTGTCCACAGAAGAAAAGCAGCTCAGAAAGAGAAAGAGCAGCTCAGTTTTGCCACCAGTCTGAATGTTCACTTTCTTGATCCATACATCATAGTCCATTAAAAAAAAAAGAAAGAAAGGAAAGGAAAGGAAAGGCGAGGCTGGGGAAGCCAGCTAGACAGATAAAATCTAAGTGGGAGAGGCAATCTTCACAGTGTAGTTCACAAAATACTGAGAATGAAACCATATTCAACTATGAGCTTAAAAATATTCTAATGCAAGACATCAACTTATAGGTATATATTGCTTCTTCCCTTAATTGGTAAAAACAGCCTATTTGATTACCAAACCAAATCGTCTTTTCTTCTCAGATTTCTATTACTATATATATAGCAGAATATAGTCACACATATATATAAATACAAATTTACATAAAAGAAAAAAAATCAGGCTACAACTCCCACTTCATAAAAGAGAATGCTTTACATACCAAGCAATCCTCTGTATTTAAAATACGATTTAACTTACAGAACTCCAATTTATAGACAGGTTTTCAGGAACATATTTACACTATTTTATAAACTGAAGTATAGTCTTTAAAGATTTTTGTTTGTCTTTTTACCTGTTTAATTGTGTTCATATGCTGCTTCTCTGTTTCTGTTCTTTTTTTTAGTTCTTCTCTTAAATTGTCTTTTTCTGAACAAATGCCTAAGATGAGCTCCTGATGCTTCTTATTTTCTTTAATTAACCTAAACATAAAAAGGGCAGTATAAGTAAAACATAGTGAAAAATGGAGATGTGGAATATAACCTGTTTGCAGATTAGGGTGTAGATACTTACGATACATCAATCAACATTTCTAAATAGCCCTTTTGTAAAGATAGATTATACTTTGCAAACTTTTTCCCAGAAATTTGTATATTTCAAATCAAGTGAAATATAATCAGAGGAAGAAAAGCACGCTCTTTAAGTTTATGTCTTCAAGCATCTCAGCTGTGCACTTCATCCCGTCAGCACTTGAACCCCTTCAGGTCAGCAGTTCACAACCAGGAGCAACTTTGCCCCTCCAGGCATTTGTCTGGAGGCGTTTTTTGGTCACCACAACAGGGGTGGGGGCTGCTCCTGGTTTCTAGCAGGTGGAGGCCAGCGAGGCTGCTAAACATCCTACAACACAGAGGACAGCTCCACCAGCAACAAAAAATGATCTGCCCCCAAATCTCAAAAGTGCTGAGTTCAGAAATCTTGCTTTAGAGTTTAAGAATATTTTAATAATATTCTAATAGTTATAAAATAGTAAATGTAAAATAAAAGTTTAAGCAGAAATTTCATTGAGTCCACTAGAAAAATATAAATAAAACCTTAAAAATTACCCGCAAAGTACTCAGAACTATAAAAAAAGATACTTAAGAAGGTTAACAGCTATCATTTTAGGATTATTAATAGCTATTACCTAACATTTATTGCACAATTACTAAGTTTAGCTTTACATACATTATTTCATTTAATATTCAAGTCTATGAAATTATTATTATCTGTTTTACGAATTGAAAAAAAAAAAAAAAATGAAGCCTAGAACTTGTTCCAGGTCATACAACTAGTAAGTGGTTGAACTGAAATTTGGACCCTGGTCTAACTTCATAGCCCAGGCCTTTCCATCTTCTACTTTGAAGATCCCTCATTCACTCAACAAATGCTTACTGGGTACCTACTATGTACCTATACTATTCTATATGTTGGGAGTACGTCAGCAAACTGTCCCTGCCCTCATGAATCTTACATTCTAAGGGAGAAATCTAAAATAAACAACAAATATATATAATAAAATGTCAGGTAGTGACTAAGTCCTATTGAGAAAACTAAAAGAGGGAAAGAGGACAGAGGGAGTGACTTGAGCTGTGATTTTAGATAAGGCAGCCAGGGTAGGCTTCTCGGAGGAGCACAGGAATGCAGTGAAGAAGCAAGTTATGCAAATGTTTGGGAAAGAGAAAAATGTAGCATGCGAGTTTACTTAAGCCTTTTCTGGCACAGTGGTTTAACTTAGATTATGTGATTAAGGTGTATAACTCAATTTGTTGCAGAGGACTACCTTAAACACAAGAATCCTGGCTACAGTTCACAAGTAAACAGTTTAGGAAGGCAGAAGCAAAGAACAGCAAGCCCTCAAACTGTTATTCTTAGAAGCCAAAAAGCACACCCTATACACAAATAACTATTCCTAATTAAGAATTCTAGTCGGGACCTTGGACAATAATATTGATGTTAGAAAATAGGGAAACGGATGTCTAAACAAAAACATTTGGAAATAGATGCATTCATGAAAATTTAAGCCACAGGAACTAAATGGTAGTTTTCTTTATAGAAAATTAAATGAAAGCAAAAGAAAAAAATTAGTTGTTTTAGACCTAACCTGAGTCACAAAGCATTTATTTGGAATTAAAAACATTATGTGTATAACAAAAGATTAACTTAGATTTAAAATGATAATAACTGACATTTTTATAATGCCTTAATGTCCACAAAACAATCCCATCAGGTAAGTATCGTCCCCCTCAGACAGATGAAAATTCTTTGACTCAGAAAGGTTGATTTGGCCAACGAAACAGAGCTTGCTAGTGGCAGTGGGAATCTTCCAACTCTGAGCTTCTGCCCAGGACTATGCTTACCCTAGTCTACCACGCTGCCACTGTCCTGACAACATGGAGCAAAAAAGAGGAATTAATAATTAATTTTCTACTGTATGCTTAATATTTTTAGATAAATTTAACAACTTGTAACTAATTCATTTCAGATAACCACATTAAAAATCCTCTGAAGCCAGACTAACAAGGTTCAGATTTTAACTTTGCCATTTACCAGCATGTGACCTTAAGCAAGTTAATCCCTCTGGGCCTCAGGTACTTCATCTGTAAAACGGGAATAATAATAATTCACACCACACATGGTTGTTGTCAGGATTCCATGAGTTAATATATGTAAAGTGCCAGGCACATAACTAACAGCATATAAGTGTTTGCTGCTATTATTATTAAATGTGTAACACCTTATGATTTACAAGAGGCAGGAAAGTGGTAAGAGTCCAGATCTAAGGAAAGTGGAAAGAAGCATCGGGGATAATCTCAAAGGGAAGGTCTCAAGGAAAGGTACAAATAGCAGGAAAACTAGGAAATTACCCTAAAAAGCAAGATGTCAGAAGAACTAATGGTTCAAGTACAAAATCATATAGTTTATTCATAATTGTAGCATTCCAGTAAGGGTATGAGTAGGAATAGAAGCCATCAGTTTGGGGTAGTATTAAAAAGGGCCTTGGAATCTCAAGAGATATTTGTCCACTCATGTTCACAGTAGCATTATTCACAATAGGCAAAAGGTGAAAGCAACCCAAATGTCCATTGATGGATGAATGGATAAACAAAATGTGGTATATACATACAACAGAATATTATTCAGCCTTAAAAAGGAAAGAAATTCTTGAGGGCCAGCCCGGTGGCGTAGTGGTTAAGTTCACACGCTCCACTTCCATGGCCCGGGGTTCACAGGTTCGGCTCCCAGGTGTGGACCTATGCACTGCTTATCAAGCCATGCTGCGGCAGGCGTCCCACATATAAACTAGAGGAAGGTGAGCACGGATGTTATCCCAGGGCCAATCTTCCTCAGCAAAAAAAAGAGGAGGATTGGCAACAGATGTTAGCTTAGGGCTAATCTTCCTCATAAAAAAAAAAAGGAAAGAAATTCTGACACATGCTACAACATGGATGAACCCTGAGGACATCTGCTAAGTGAAATAAACCAGTCACAAAAAGGTAAATACTGTATGATTTCATTTATATGAAGTATCAAGAGTAGTCAAAATCAGAAACACAAAGTAGAATCGTGGTTGTCAGGGGCTGGGAGAAGGGGGAACGGGGAATTGTTTAATGAGTACAGAGTTTTAGATTTGCAAGATGAAAAAGCTAAGCAGATTGGTTGCAAAACAATGTAAATATACTTAACACCACCAAATTGTACACTTAAAAATGGTTCAGATGGTAAATTTTATGTCGTGTGTATTTTGTCACAATTTAAAATAAAAATAAAAATAGAAAAAAAGAAGGGCTCTGGATACTAAGAGATTAAAGTTCATTAGATAAACCAGTGAAGGGTGAGCTGGTTTGGGGAAGACTGATCACTGAACAAGATAATCTGGAAGAGTAAAGACTAGAAGCAAGGGGATCATTAAAAGTCAATGACACATCCAGCAATGTTTGGATTATGGTATATTTTCTGTCATCCTCCTCTGATATGTAGACTTCCTCTTCCCCTTTATCCACCACACACACCTCCTATTCCAAAAATTTTTTTTAATTATCATTTTTTAAAAAGAGAATCAGTCTGTAGTTTAATGACGGCTAGCATGTTTTATTTTCCTTTCTTAAAGGTTATAAAATAGAGTACCTAAACATATGCATCACTTATATAAATCTAGAATAAAAATACAGGGTGATATAAGAAAAGATAAAATAGAAATTAACTCCACAAATCCAACTATGTTCTTATTTACCGAATGATAATTCTTCTTTTCTCTAAATCCAAAAATTTTTTTTGCTGAGGAAGATTCCCCCCGAGCTAACATTCACAGCCAATCTTCCTCTTTTTGTATGTGAGCCGCTGCCACAGCATGGCCACAGATGAGTGGTGTAGGTCCGCACCTAGGAACTGAACCTGGGCCACTGAAGCAGAGCAAGCTGAACTGAACCAGTAGGCCAGCAGGGCTGGCCCTCTCATTTTTTTAACTAATAAATTCACAATGGGGATTCTAAGAAAATTTTTTGGAATTTTATGATTTCTCATTTCCTTTTGAATTCCTCTCAGTTTTGACGATATTACGCTCTATGTTCTTTCAAAACTGAAAAATTTGAATTGTCTTTATAAATATTTTCTAGATCTTTCATGAACTTACTCTGTTTAATTAAAGATTTATTCTTTTAGACATATTAAATAACTAGACAAATTTGACATTTGCTCAATTATTCAGTAAATACATATTTGCTGATCAACTACTATGTACACGGCTCTATTGTGGAATTAAAAGTGGACAAAACGATATCCTCCTTCAAAAAATTCAATCTTTAATTCCTGTGGGGAAAAAAACCCTCAAAATATAAAAACTTACTTCTTTATGGTGTGTTCCTGCTGCAAATACTTATCTTGCACACACTTTTCAAAGATAACTAATGCATGTTCTCCCTTATTCATTCCATTTGGTACTCGGTGTTCTTCTGCAAACTCTGTAGATAAGAGCTCAGATTCTATCTCTTCCAACAAATCCTCTGATGTTGAAACATTCTTTATTTTTGAAATAAGTTTCTTGGTGCAGTCTGTATCATAGGGACTTTCTGAATAAGTCTTTTGATTAGCTGCTTCTGTAAATGTAGATGACTTTAATTCCTCCAATATTTGTATTACTGTCTGTTCTGTTTCATTTGTTTTTGAAACCTGCTTTGTAAAATCTCCGCCAGGAAAATTAGCTATTTGTTCAGAATTTTCAGTGTATGTGTCTGTTTGAGCACAAGAATCCTCATCTCCAACATGATCTGGAATATAATTTTCCTGTGCTTCAATTTGATTATCGTATTCATTGGGCTGACATAAAGTTTTATCAAAGTTTAATGACAACAGTTTGGACTCATTTTCTAGGCTGTTGCTTTCATCACCAGAAAACAAGTTGCATGAGTCTTCCTTTACTTCAGATGTTTTCCCAATATTTTTATCACAGGAAATGGAGGCTACGTGCTCTGTCTCTGACATGCTGACTGGCACCAATTCACTCTGCATTTCTTCAAATCTCTTACTGATCTTCGTTTTACATCTAAGAAAATCAAAACATCAAAATTAAAAAATATTTTTTTAAACCAAGACCCCAGATACATTTGCACACAATCCATGATGTAAAATAACTAAGGCCACAAATTTTACCACTGATAATCCTTTTAAAAGCTTTTCCTTGAGGGAAAACCAAACAAACAAAAAAACCAGAACAGCCAATTCAAGTGTGCCACAACCAGTAAGGTGTTACAAAGTGTCATTCTCTTTGCTCCTTTACTTCAGTCATATAACTTCATTTCAGCCGCAGTTTGGCATTCCCCAATCACCCCCAAAAGATGATGGGTATGGGGCCGGCGCCGCGGCTTAGCGGTTAAGTGCGCGCGCTCCGCTGCTGGCGGCCCGGGTTTGGATCCCGGGCGCGCACCGACACACCGCTTCTCCGGCGATGCTGAGGCCGCGTCCCACATACAGCAACTAGAAGGATGTGCAGCTATGACATACAACTATCTACTGGGGCTTTGGGGGAAAAAATAAATAAATAAAATTATTTAAAAAAAAAAAGATGTTGGGTATGAAACAATACTAGAAAAATGTTGAGGAAATAAGACAGCAACGAAAACACTAGGAGAGAAATTACAAACCAAGATAACACAACAATGCACATTAACAATGATAAAAATTTACTGAGAAGGAAAACCAAAAAATAACAAAACACAGCTACCTAAAGCCCAGACACCTAAAGCTGAGTTGAAAAAAGTCAGGGTGTAAAGGATCCCTGACAGGAATCCCTTTTTCATCCAGGCAGGAATCCAGGAAGCACCATGGTGATTTCCAAACATTCTCATCAAGAATAAACAATGTTCAGTGCAACTCTAAGGGAACCCATATGCACTACTTAGGTCATAAAAGAAACATATATAAAACTAATTCAACAACATTAGAGGGTTACTGTTTATGAGGGTTACTATTCTAGCTATTTTCTGAAAATTAGTCAACACCAAAAATTATCCTGAGACAGATACATATAAAATATCCAGGAATCTTGATGAAAAAGAACTGTCAACTTCTTTGGTCAAATGTCAACAAAGCACATATAAGGTAGATGAGTTACCAGTCATATGAGGTTAGATAAAAAAGTGGGCGGATCATAGTTTTAACAGAAACTAGGAAAGAAAGAATTCCCAACGGAAGGTGTACTTACGAAAAACAAAACAGGAAGATTAAATTTTTGAATTAACAGAAAGATACGTGTTTCAGTCATGTGATGGAGGTGTTGGTCGGAGGATGGTGAAAAAAGGTAAGAGAAGATGGTCAAGTAGAATCCTCAGAATGATGTGCAGGAGTAAATTTTGTTAACGGACAATAAATCATGATAGACTTGTATACTTGATTATACTATAGAGTTTCTAGCAGATAGTAGGTTCTCATATATATGCCTAATTAAAGCACACAAGTGATACGATAAAACTAGTATTTGAGAAACATTATTCTAGGAAGGCAGAAAATAGGAAGAATAATTCTAAGAAAGGAAAAGATGACCAGCTTGTTTGTTAAATATCCTGTCTTTTAGTCTAAACTGCCCTCTGGGGCATTAACTAATATAGACATTGGCCTTACTACTATACATTACCTATCTGTATAATATATTTCCAAACAACCAAACAGAAATTATCATTATTATCTTGCTGCATATATATAACTAAGACAAAGCCCACACTAGTACTATTAAAGGCTTGCTTTAGACAATACAAATAAATGCAGTAAGGTAATAAAAGGCCTCATAAGTATGCTTTATTCCAAAATCTAAGATAAAGTAAAACAATTCTCAAACAGGGGCATTAGCCATCTATATTACCTACCCCAAAGACTCACTTTAAGATATAACTTGTAAATTTGTTGCTGCTAAATTTGAAATCTTAATTTAGAAATCAATCTAAAACCTAATAAAGGAAGTAGTTTTAAATATCACAACTAGTCAACACTACATCAACTGAAGTTGAACTCAGAGCTGACCAAAATATAATGGGCAGCATATAAAGAACCTATTTAAAAGAGAATAAGTCTATAAAGGCATTGTGACTTTCCAGCATAGATAAGAGCAAGTGAGAAGAAATTTTATCACTTGAGAACTTTATGGCTCTTGTCTGTATGCCATACTTTGTCAACAGAAAAGCACTAAGCAAATATTGGTTATTATCCTTTCATCCAACTTTCATATTCCCCAGGGTTCAGTCCTCAACTTGACTTTCTTAGAATTCATCAACTTTGATAACTTGAACCAACAACTCATAGTTGATGTCCACATTAATTATTTTCAGTCCTGTGTCCTTGAATTACAGATAATGAATTATCTCTTCACCATCATTCTATCTCCATATCTATATTAAAATCTCCACCTGAATATAGGCATTTCCAATGGATGTTCCACCATAACCTCAAACTCAAGATGGCTAAATCCAAAATCATAATTATAGCTCCTGTAATTGTATACCCCTAATCTTTTCTGTCAATGGTATCATTTTTCTTAGACATGACTCTTTCCTTTCCTTTGCCCTCATATTCTTTTACCAATTTTATGTCTCTTGCAATTATACTCTCTCCTACTGTCACTGTCCCTACCTGCAACTCAACCCAGGCCAGACCACTTCACACCTGGAACACGTGAATTGTTGGTTTCTCAATCTCACTTCATTCCTCCTTCCTATTCTCCTTCCTCCAACTCCAAGTGAAGGAGCAAAGAGGTTAATGGAAGGGCAGATGACCTGAGACAGCACCAAGGCAAGTGTCACCCAATCCAGAGAAGAGGCTGAAGTATGTACTACACTGGATCTGCCACAGGGGCAGAGGAGCTACCCTATGAAGTGAGTCCTCAATGGCAGAAGGGGCTAGAGATCTACAACACTGCCCCTAAAAAATCCACACATACCACCTCCACAGAGACCACCATCAAATGCAACCAGATGAATCAGAGTGAGGCCAGGACTATCTCTTCCCTCTTGAGAGGTTCAGGAGTTGACAACTCTGCCTCCACTGGCTGGTCTTCTTCCCCCAACTCCAAAAGGGCTAGCTAGAGAAAGGAGAGGGAATATATTTTAGAGACAAATTACACCTCCTCTTCTTTAATCCAAGCAGCTGGGAACTAACAGCTTCAACCTTTCTTCAGGGAGAAAAATAAGTTTGTGGTTAACGTTTTTTGTTGCTTGTTTTTGTTTTTTAAATGACTGAAACCTTTCTTAATTTCTGAAGTAAATTTTCTCTAGTAATCAAAAGTAGCTGAAAAGTTATGACATCAAACCAAGACGTTATTAAGGGACTGCACTTCAGAGGGAAGTGGAGGGGATGGAGGCGTTTTACACAGTATAATTGGAGATCCTTTAACGAAAAAATAAAACCATTTCAAGTTTATACCTCAGAGTTGTGATCCCTCAGTAAACCAGCTGTACTACTTTTCCAATCTTATCTCTCAACACATTCCTAAAATCCCAGTACTTCACTATACTCTACCAGGCCCTGACCAGTCTACTCAAGATTCCTCCAAACAATTTGCACATTAACATTTCCATGGCTTTGCTCCCATCTAGAATGTCCTTCCCTTTAGCCTATCTAGAGCCTAATTATATTTAAAAACTGATTCTAACAACACATCTTCCTCCAAATTTTCCTTCATCCCAAGTACAAAAATAATCTCTCATGTAAATGAAAACATACTGCATTTATACCCATCAAGCACACAGTCACAGCCTTCCTCATGACCTTTCTGAAAAGGCAGTCTTCAGCCTTTTAAATGATCTCTGTACTTGCAAAGAGGAACTCACTTTCAACTGAATCAAACTCCTTAAATCTCAAGCATATAATGGTAATAATAAATAGATAAATAAATCTAACAAATATATTCTCTACTACATTTACACTCATTCTTGCAAATGCTATTCAGTGGTTCTCCATAAGGGTGGGACCCACTGGGTTTACACAGGATCTGGGGGAGTGAACAGCATTTAAGGTGGAAACCAGGTTGTAAGAAGACTTGCAATGTGCAAGACAGTGCAGAACAACAAAAAATTTGTCTCATTCTGGTGGATATTCATCTAGGTAAAAAAAAAAACAAACTGTTTTTATAATTACCTCAGCTTAGACTGTTTTACATATTATCCTCTTGTGAATTAAAGAGGGCTTGTTTAACCTCAAAAGACAAGTACTTTCTACACTGTTGCTCAGTAATATGCCCATGACCTCTGAAAAAGTCTTCATATAAATTGGCATCTGATAACCACTCAGCTCGTAAACTTAGTTTTTTGATGCTCAAATGAATACTGACTGGAAGCAAAAGGAAAAGGAGACGGGGGGCCTGCCCGGTGTCGTAGCGGTTAAGTGCTCGAGCTCCGCTTCAGCGGCCCAGGGTTCGGAGGTTTGGATCCTGGGCGTGCACTGACGCACCGCTTGTCAGGCCACGCTGTGGCAGAGTCCCATATAAAGGAGAGGGAGATGAGCATGGATGTTAGCCCAGGGCCAATCTTCTTTGGCAAAAAAGAGGAGGATTGGCATCGGATATTAACTCAGGGCTAATCTTCCTCACAAAAGCAAACAAACAAAAACACATTTAAAAAAAAAAAAGGAAAAGGAGAGGGGTTAATGAAGAGCTATGTGTATGTATGTCACAAAGCCATCACTGAAGATTAAATAACCGTACAAGAATCTCGGGGGGGAGGAGGGTCACCATGAGCTTGATTATGCCCACAATTAACCAGGGGAAAAAACAGTCAGCTGAGTCCTCTTGTGGGCCTCCAGCTGACAAGGCTGATGTAGGCCAATTTGGTTGCTATCCAAGTTTCTTCTTGGGGCAGGTTGAAGGGGGCGTTGTCATCAAAGCTACTGCGGATGGAATAGCCTAGGAGTAGATTAAAGAGGGTGGATGTAAAACTAGACATTTGTTTACAAGATTTTTAATTACTAAGTGCTTGTACAAAATCAAAGTCACACTCATATATACAGACACAGTGATTACAATTATAGATTAAAATATCTGTTGCTTTTTTGAAGTGAAAAATAACACAGCTTACTTGACTTTTTAGCAACTCTTACTCATTAGGGGAAAATACAGTATTTAAAACTTAGCACAGTCACAAAATTCCTCTTAATTCAAGCACTTTTTTTTCAGAGTTGTTTCTGACACAGTACTACAGGACCAATTCACATTCCACAATTGTTTCAGTGGAGTGAGAACTGGTTTCGCTCTTACTGGAGCTCATCAGCTGCAGGCAACTGGTCAAGAAACATTTTTTATTTGCCTTAAAGCCAACCATCATCCACCTTGGACTGTATTTCTTAACGAAAGCGCTCACATTTCTACAAAATAATTTCCATACAAAAGCCACATAAATGAAAACATTGTCTTTAACAGCTTTTAGTACTATTTCTTGTTTTCTCAGTAATTAGCAGTATAAACAACAACAACAAACAAGCTTATTCAATAAACTGCAGATACAAATGAATCTAATCCACAGATATTTGGTAAAAGGTTATCAAACAAACAAGCCTCATACAAAAGTACCAAGTCAGAAATACATTTCCAAACTAGATATTAATTCACTCCCCAAACACGTACTGAGCGTGTCTTACGTGCAGGCACTGTTCCACGTGTTGGGAACAGGGCAGTGAAAGACACAAACACCCCTAATGGAATTTATATTCCAGGGCGGTGGACCAATATATAATAGCTCGACGTTAAACCTTTTACTCCTTGTGTTTACGGTATTTTAATTTGAAGGTCTGTCAGTGTTCCATCAGAAGCTATATAGGATATGCCTAAGTGGTTTAAGTCCAAAAGAAAAATCTGACTCAGTTCAGCATAGATATTATTTACAATAAACTACAAATTTTTAAATTACAAACTGTACCATTTGAATCTCAAATAATACCAGCTGTATACTTCTCAAATAACGTCCGTTAAGATAAGCAAGTTGAGCCTGTGAGAGCACTCTTGTTCTTCAATATAATGGTTTACTGTCCTTTGAAGGAAAAATAAGTACATCCAAAAGTTTTTTACCATATTCCCCAAAAACACTTTGAAAGCAGCATAAACAAAAGAACAACTTATCTTTCTGATCAGTTCTAACAAGGTTCTGATATGGCAATTAAAGTCAGAAGGAATGAATTAAATCAAAAAAGCACCCATTGTCCAACACAATCTGGTCACAACTCCCAAGTAACTGATTTTTGATAGATATTAACTTTAAAACACAAACACTTTCCTGGATAAAGTTTTAAAAATAGAATAAAATAATAGAAAAGAACCTGTGAAAGAAACACGAAAACCTTGTTGCATATAATAAAAATATCTTACACTGAAGTTCAAGTAAGGTGAATTTATGCAAATCAAATTCTACGTTTAAAAGATTAAAGACTGAGCTGGCTCTTTAAAAGAACTCTAGATTTGTTCCAACAAAAGGAAGAAAAATTTTGTAAAGTAGTCAAATTCTACTTAAGCTTTTGGGTAAAATTTAACTTAATACATTGAGTTTCCTTCACATGAAACATATCACTAAATTTTAAAAGTAGCCTTTAGTTCATCAGTATGGATGTTAGCTCAGGGCCAATCTTCCTCAGCAAAAAGAGCAGGATTGGCAACAGATGTTAGCTCAGGGCTAACCTTCCTCACACACACACACACACACACACACAAAAAAACGGAAGGCTAACAACTAAAAAAAAAACAAAAGAAAGAAAGAAAAAACAATTAAAAATAAGTTGTACGTCTGCCTTATATTAAGGAGTTCTGGTTAATGTTTACATTTTGAAACCACCTTTGGCCTGGGCTTGGTTCATTTGGTATGATGTAGTTTACAAAAAAATTAAATTACTCATTAGCACTGACTACATAATCATCCCTACAGCACACTATCAGTTCATGCATCTTAATGACAAACAAATACACTCACAATCCAACCAATACTTTCTTTTGCTGAGTTTGATTTCCATTTCGTGTCTATTGCCCCTTCACTCCCAATATTATTCCTTTTGTTTACTTCTTAGCCCAAACAGATTTTTTAAATCTCAGTAGCTGAGAAATAAAGGTCAAAGGAGAAGTTTGAAAGAATATGATAAGATTAGAGGGTTATGTGTAAATTGAAATTATCTATGCTCCCACTGTTGCCCTGAAATGAATACTAAATGTGACATTGGCAATACTGTAAGCCCAGTGACATGTTTATGAGAAATTCAGGAATCGGCTTTAGTTATTTAAAGCTCGAGATAAGGGATAAAAGAAAAACCTAAATTTTATTGAAAGAAAAAAAACCAGAACTTCAGGTTAAGGATTATTATTTTAACATGAAACCGTTAGATGAATTTGTAAAACTAATGCAGATTACTAGTTGCCCTTAAAGGGAAAGATGATTTTTCTAAATCTCTAAATAAGGCTGCTTCGACCTATCATCTCTCCCTAAAGAGTGAGTACTGTTTTACCCTCACCCCAATGATGTCAGCATGTAGCTGTAAACGGATGTTTTTAAATGGAAAATACTAAGCAATCATCATCAGCTATACTGTCATTGTATAGCATCAAAGGACAACTCTTGCGTTTACAGGCAAAGGAACTAAAAGGTTAAAGAGTGGTTACTGTGCTACACCACTCCTTTGTGTTGGCAATAAATAAGACTCTGAAATACTGATGAGGCACTATGGAATCTCCACTGTTTAAAGAAACCTCTAAATTTATATGCAAGTATTCTGAATTAGACAAGGTCTTAAAAAGAATAAAACCACTATAAACACAAGCCAGGCATTTCCAAGTAGATTCTTCAGTAATTATACATGCTTGCCTATTATAATGTAAAAAACTTTTAATTCTTTATACTACAAGATTTGTATCTTGAAAAAGTTAAAACAATACCCTCGCTGAATTTACAACATGAAAGACCAAAAAGAAAAAAAAAGAACTAGGCCAATCATCACTGTTTTCCTAATTGTGTAACGATAGATAAAGAAGTGAAAAGTAGGTGTACAGAGAACAATACACTTTATACACAAGCAGATAGTTCAGGTTCACTATCAACGTCTCTTGAAACTTAATCTTTCCCACAAGATCCACACTGCCAACATGAAGGTGTAGTTAATAGCTGGGAAGGCTACACCCACAACTAGCATACCTAAACACTTAACAGATTTTTTTTTTTTTTTTTGAAGGACTACCAGAACACCTCTTGAAACACCTTCACTGATTTACTGCACATTTTCCTTAGAAAAACTCCCGGCCTATCATTTTGGAGGAAATAAAGGAGCTGGGCATCAAGGGAACACGACACACACGGAGAAAAGTGCAAAACGCTTGGGACTGTACTTGGGCATATTTTTACTACCCTATCTAATTCCCATCACTATCAAGTGACAGAGGCAGATTCTAACCCAGATGTTCCGACTCCAAATCCAGGCCTCTTTCCTCTAAACAAAATCAACATGTGAATATTAGCTAAAGTTATTAAATTGTTAACAGCTGACCAGTAATTACACCTCCACTGTTCCCCAGGCTTGCCACCAGCGGACATATGTACAAGGGGCTTTACCATTTTACACACTTGATAGAGACACAAATTTGAAAGATCATCCTTACCAGCCAAGGTTTATCAAATGCCTTGAGACAAAAGGCAACATAAAAACCATAAATAGTATCTCTCACATCCACGATCCCAAAGAATCGTTTCTAAGTTACTTAAAATCACAGTGATGGGAAGTGCATGGAAGAGGGTAAAAAGTCGCTACCAACAGTAAACATCAAACACACACAGTCAGCTTAGAGACGAAAAGAGAAAAAGGCGATTGAGTCTACGAGAGATCGCTGAGCAGGTGGGGCTTAGCTGCAGCTCATACAGGGAGACCAGGCGACCGGCCCAAATTCGGCCGTTTTCTAGGCACCGCTCAGGAGGCGCGGCCCCCACGACCCCCGCCGACTCCTCTCGGCCGCCTCCTCCCCTGGCGGCCCGGGTCCGAGGGAGGGAGGCAGGCAGAGGAAGGGACTCCGTCCCCCAGCGCTCCCTCCCCGCATCGCCCCCGAGAGAAGCCAGGCGGGGAGCCGCCGCGGGTCCTGCAGACGCGCGGGAGGGGGAGCCCCCCCGCGCCGCCACCGCGACTCCCTGCTCCGCCCCAGGCGCCCCTCGGGCACTCACCCCACTTCTCCGAGCCTCAGGCCGCAGCCCTAACGAGGCCGCTGAAGCTCCGCCTCAGGGGACAACTTCGCCATAGCGGGGTCCAGAAGATCAGGAGGTGTGGGGCGCAGCGGTGGGGAACAGGGCGAACACCGCGCTCGCTCGGTCGCGGCTTCCCAAAAGCCCCGCGGAGCTGACACATCAACAAAGATGGCGGCAACGCTAAAGCTAGCCCCGCTACAGCTGAGGGGGCGGGGCTCCCTGGAGGAGCCAATCAGCGCGGCGAGGGCGGTGTGACGCGACGCACCTTGGAGCCAGAGTAACCTGTCTGCAGTGGCCGGGGCCGGCGCAGCCCCGCCTCCGGCCGCCGGAGCTCCCAGCCCCGCGCCGAGACTCGCTGGCACCCACGCCCTGCCTGACCTGGCGAGGTGGCTCTCCAGCCCACAGTCCTGTCCTGCCTCTCCTGCCCCTCCCTGACCCAAGCAGGTTCTTTCTTTCCGTAGGACGGGCTCATTGGATATAATCACTCCTCGCCCTTTGGCCTTTCCTCATATTAGTCATAGGCATAAAGCAATAAAAGAATTCGAAATTGTGACTTCTCAGCTCTAAAACTCAAACCTTGCCCCTGACGTGGGCGGAGTCAGCAGGAGCAGCCTACCTGCCCGCCTGACAATTTATCCCTGGGAGAAACTCTGGCGGTTTCCATAGCACCGCGTTCGTGTCCACCGCGTGGCACCTCCTGCCACTGTTTAATAATAAAGCGTTGCTGCGTTAGTCTCCGGCACCGGACTGTGAGCGCCTGGAGCGCGGGAAGTGTCCTCTCCCGGCTGGGTACCCAGCACGCAGCGTGGGGTGTGACACGCAGGAGCTCTCAATAATTAGCAAGAAAAAGTGTATGGGGGTGGGGGGGCGTAATGAATACAGTTGCCTAATCCAGTCCAGAGAGGTAAGGAGAGCAGTTTCAGTCTGTGGAGGTTCTGCAAACCTACTCTGTCCGGTGAAGTGATGTTCTTTGGTGTAGGACTTCTTATGCACAACTCATGAGTGAAAACAGTTAATTCTGACGAGTCAGCAATGCAAAAGTTTGTAAAAGAAAACTTATTACCGTTCTGTTAAACTTCTTTGATACTAACTGCTGGCAAAAAAAAAAGTTAAAAAAATACAACATTGTGTAACTGTTCCTCTTTCCTTTTTAACAGGAAATGGCACCTCCTTCCTTAAATGAAGATACTGCATTAAAACACACTTTGCAGTTCAAGTGTCTGTCACAGTAAAGAAATGATTTGACTTGAAACCAGTAAATCGACCAAACAATCGTAGTGAGATATGTTATTCCAAAGGGAAAAAAAAAAAATCAAAGAAACTTGAAACTTTTTTCAATACTCATTATTGTCAGTAATAATATTCATATTGTTATTTCTGAAATATATATTAGTAAAAGGATGTAAGTAATTATGTCTTTGGGAACCAAGATTTTTGGTATTGGAGAAAGGAAATACAAATCTAAAATCAAATTAAGTAAAAACTGCAATTTGAAATTAGAAATATCAGTATGAACCCATGGTGCATTTTTTTAATTAAAAAAAGTCTGTCCACTGAAAAGGCCTAGAACAGTGATCAACTCAGTGCCACACCCCTATTCTCTAGACAATCATCTCTATCTATAATTTCCCACTAAAAGTCACCTGGGCTCCTCTTGGAGCTCAAGGGCTGATTCTAAGTCTGGGTGGGGCAAGAAATGTACAAGGAAGCCTAGGACATGTTGCTTGTACCAGAAAGCAAAGAAGAAAGCAAAGATAATAAGAGTTGTGTCAAAAAGACTAAGGAGCCAGTTTGAAGGTGCTCCCATTGGTCAAAGATGGGACAATTTTAGCATTCAAAAATAATAGCAATTGATTGAAACATATCTACTATGTTAAAAATCAACAAGTGTGTTGATTTTTTAAAACGTCATTGGTCAACCTTTGGAGGATGCCAAGGAATCATCACATTCTGAAATCTGATAAAAGAATCAAGCATTCCACCTTTCCTGTTACAAACTGAATCTCAACCATATAGTTGATGTGGGAAAGTTCTTTATAGAATTCCAGATAATAAATGCAGAAAAAAGACTATCACTATTTTGCAAAATAATGGAATAATGGATCTAGGTAATGATCATCAGTGAGTCTAAAATCATTGGATGAAAAGCTGATGGGAGGGCCAGCCCAGTGGCGCAGCGGTTAAGTGCTCGCACTCTGCTTCAGTGGCCCGGGGTTCTCGGGTTCAGATCACGGGCGCACACCGATGCACTGCTTGTCAAGCCATGCTTTGGCGGCGTCCCATGTAAAGTGGAGGAAAATGGGCACGGATCTTAGCCCAGGGCCAATCTTCCTCAGCAAAAAGAGGGTTGGCATTGGATGTTAGCTCAGTGCTAATCTTCCTCGCAAAAAAAAAAAAAAAAAGCTGATGGGAAACTTTATGGTGGATGGATGATGGGGCTGACAACACTTGAACCTGCTAGATCAATTTTAATATCCCCCAGAGAAAAACAACTAGATATTAACTATCTTCTGATGTGATGCAATAGAGGAACACACCACCACCTGTGGAGGATTCTTGCCAGAGGGGATGCAACCAACAAAATCAAATGGGAGAAAAACTGCAGTTACTTCAACATATAAATTGCAAGAAGATGAAAGGATTAAAAGAGAAATCTTTTTAAAAATATATCACTGAACACAAATATAGGATCTCAAATATAGGAGCCTGATTTGAACATATCAACTATTAAAAATCATTTGAGACTATCTGGAATTTTTAAATACTAATTTTATAATATTAAGAAATTATTAGTTTTAAAGGTGGGATAAATTTTGGTGATAATTTTGAAAAGTCATAATCTTTTAAAGAAATGTAAATAAGTATGGATGAAAAGATACAATGTCCCAGAAAGTAAGAAAGTGCTCAAAATAAGTAAGTAAAGAAATAAAAACAACCTCACATTGATGGGAGTATGTCAAAGGAGAACAAGAGCCAAAAGAGCTCCCAATGGCCACAGTTGGAACAATTTGAGCAAGGAAATAAAGTAGTCTTGGATTATAACCCAAAGTATAAAATAAATATCCATGATTCCATACTGATATATATGTAGATGAATGAATATATTCATAAATGCAGGAGAAGAGACAAATCTCCCATGCAAAATAATTCCAATTAATTTCTGTAGGTACTCTGCCCTTAAGGACAGGAAGTGTGACTCCCCTTCCTTAGGTGTAGACTGCACATAATGACTTCCTTCCAAAGTGTATAGTATGGGAAAGGGAGGGGGAAAAAAAGAGTAACTTTATAATAGAGAAACATTAAAAACACTAGACAGGTGATCATGGAAAACATCAACTGTCATAAATCACGTTATACGACATACACGATATGATGCAATACAAACGGCACTTTACCTCTGTAATCTTCCTTCCAACAACTCCAGTGTTACTATGAGAAAAACATCCCGCAAATTCCAACAGTGTGGTATCCTACAAAGCACCTGGCCAGTACTCCTGGAAGCTGTCAAGGTCATCAAAACAAGGAAAGTCTGAAAAACTGCCATAGCCAAGAAAAGCCTAAGGAGACAGACAACTAAATGTAATGTGGTATCTTAAATGGGATCCTGGCCCAGAAAAAGAACTATAGGTCAAAACTAAGGAAATCTCAATAAACGATGGACTTTAGCAATAATGTATCAATATTTGTTCCTTAATTGTAACAAACATATCCTACTAATGTAACGTTAATAATAGGGGAAGCTGAATGTGGCTTATGTGGGAACTCTCTGTACCATCTTCTCAATTTATTCTACAAATCTAAAACTGTTGTAAAAATATAAAATCTATTAAAAAGTCGGAATTTGCTTCAAAATAATGCGGGGAGAGTGTTTGGGGTACACATGCAGACAAGACTGACCATGAATTGAAAATGTTGCAGCTGGGTGATGGGTACACGGGGGTACTATTTTCCTTCTTAATTTGTCTGAAAAGTCCACAGTTTAAAAAAAGTTTTAAGTATTTTCTTTGAGCAACAAAATCACATGCTCTCAGTCACCAAAAAAAAAAAAGTGATCACGATGTTTAGTTTCCAAGACCAGGCAGAAGCAATGGAGTAATTTGAAAAACCTTGTTTAAGAGGTTAATACGACCCGTGACCTTTGTGAGACAAAGTCGATGTCTTTGCTCTCAAATTTGCCCTCCGAGTTCCAGAGACACCTTTCTAGAAGAAACTAGAACAACAGCTGCGTTCAGTTTCTGCAGAGGAACTTTCTGAGCCCGCAGCCGGGTACCACCCTTGGAGCACAAAGACGCGCCCCCGCGGCCAGAGCGCAGCTGCCCGGGCCCGCGAGAGCGCGCGTGGGCGCGGACTGCGCAGGCGTCGCGCTGGCGTGGGAGGACCGGCTGAGCAGCGGGGCTGAGGCGTGCGCCGAGAGCGCTCTTTGGTGGCTGGCCTCCCGGGTACGGGCAGACGCCACCACGGCCAGGCTTCAGATGCGGGTAGGGGTAGGCGACCCTTCTACCTTTTTCCAGGTCAGGTTCCCACGCGCATTGGGGAAGAAAAGGGACTGAGTGAGGGCTACCGGGCTTCGGTGGTTGGGGTCTGGACGTTCGGCGCTGGACGTTGAGGTCGGACGTTGAGCCGGTACAAGGGCCCTGGACCTGGAGAGAGGCTAGAAGGATGGAGCAGACCTTGAGTCTCAGCTGGGAAGGGCAGGTCTAGGGTTGGAGATTTTGGTGTGAGAGGATCCTGTCTTGGGGCGAGGGGCAAGAGAAGTGGGAATTGCATCCCGTTGGAGGACCTCTTTCCCCTTCTCTCTAAAAGAAACTAGTTTGTGGATTCAGTGCATTTGTTTAACTCAAAGCTACAATGCCAACAATATTAATACTTACTAGAGGTTTTCCCTGCCTTCTACCTCATCCAGAAAAGGCAGATGCCCTATGGCTTACGCTTAGATGGGGGTAAGCCAGCACTAGTTCAAGTGTTTCTAACGTGTCTGCTGTGTGCCAGTGACTTTTTTTTGGCACTTGGGCCCCTGCTGTAAATATGCTTGCTCTGTTGGCCTGTAGGGAAGATGCTTCTAGTTCCCTTATTGAGCTGTCAGGGTATTGAATGGGAAATCATGCGGGCTAGGCATCTGACCTGGATTTTCATCTCAGCTATGTAAGGGCGCTGGCCCAGGGATGGGAGTGAGGTGGGGGA